GTCATTTACAGAGGTATATAGTGAAAATTGTAGCCACACAAGTAAATTACGCTAATAAAATACACTTAACAAAGAATTCAGATGATATATTCACTCCTTAATTTGTATAAAAAAAAAACAATTTTCCTTTTTACGTCATTACTAACCTGACCAATTGCAAGCCATGTCACCCCCTCTCAAAAAATAAAAGAAGAGTAAATATATTTTTTGGTCCTCAGCAAATTTTACTATACTCGCTTTAGTCTCTAGCAAATAAAAAGACTATTTGTAGTCCCTCACAAATTCAAAATGGACCTATTTAGTTAAAATTGTAGTTCCTCACAAATTCAAAAAAGACCTACATTAGTTCTCAAAAGGACTAAAAAGAATCCATTTTGAATTTTTTAAGGACTAAAAATAGCCTTTTTATTTGTTAGGGACTAAAGCGGCATCGTAAATTTACTGAAGACCGAAATAGGTATTTACTCAAAAAAAAAAACAATAAAATAATTCCCATCAAGGAAAATGAGAAATGCAAGGCAAAGTTACAAGCAGCTAGAGAAATCAATCGGTGTAAACTTATACCAAAAAAAATAAAAAAAAATAAAAAAATCACATAAAATCATCCTAATGCATCATATAACTGATATTTTTATTCCTTGTTATCCATCTCCTTTTGGTGTTTTCTATGGCTTGCTCCCTCATCTTCTCAAGCTCACGAAACCATTGGTGATACTGTGTATCTATTGCTTCAAGCTCCAATTGCAGCTCGTTTGAATTATCGTTGTCAGCTAGAGTAAGGGAACATGCGCTTGACATATCAAAGTTTTTGGATGGACTGCAACACAAATTGATTAACTGATTCTTGTGTCCATCTTCTTGACCACAAAACCTGACACCTTAATTGGACCAAGTACTATTCACCTAAAAAAACAATAAATCACCAATAATCATTGATTCAAGGGGTGAGGATTTTGTTTATGTTAACTATAGATTTTGAGTTCGAACTCCGGATAAAATGATCTTGATAGAACTGTCCCTCTGTTAATCGAGTAATTGATGAATCGATAAATAAATAAAAAATAAATAAATCACTTAAAAATAGAACGTCAACGTTTGAATATGGCAGATTACGCTTCGGAACGGGATAAAAGCCTTGGCAAGCCTCTTCATCTGTTGGTCCTTCAAATAAAAATTCATCGCTGAATTGCTTGATTAAGTGAATTCTGAATTTAGAAAGGGATGTGTCACTTATAATTGAAAATTTGAGGAACAAAAAAAAAAGTTGTGAGTGCAAATCCCATTTGAAAATTTATTTAGGAAATTAAGATTTTGCAAAGGCAGTTGGTCAACGTAACCGCAACCAAGTAATACTTAAAAGACGTTGTACGAATTTTTTGGAAGTCAAACATACGCCAATCTTAAAATAAAAAAAAAAATAATATATATATATATATATATATATATATAAGAATTTCTATTTCTGCAGCTGTTATACGTGCAGCAATCAAATACTTGCCATATATATATTTGAAAGCATTAAATGCAGATAATCATAATTATACAAATGATGAAAGCATTAAATGTAGGGACTCATAACTAATCATACACATGTCGTTGTTGTACGTAAAGCGGCTGCAGAAATAATTTTACCATATATATAGGGAAGGATCCTTTTACAAATCTTTTTTACACATCACACTAAGTATGATTGGTCATACACTTTTGATTGAAGTATGACCGATCACACTTAATTTAGTTTGTAAACAAAAAAGTTTGTAAATATAATCTGACCCTATATATATATAAGGGCAGATTATATTTACAAACTTTTTTGTTTACAAACTCTTACAAACTACATTATCTTCTCCCGGTAGAACACTAGGTTTCACTATCTTCTCCTGGGAGAAGATATTGTAATTTGAAAAAATTTGTCAAAAAAATTTGTAATCGGATCCTTCTATATATATATATGAGGTAGGATCATTTGACACCGGTGTCAAAATTGAAATTTGACACCTCATCTGATAGCTGTTAGATCAAAAAAGATCAACGACTCTGATTTGCAAGCATGTGACACCATTGATCTTTTTTGATCTAACGGCTATCAGATGAAGTGTCAAATTTTAATTTTGACACCGGTGTCAAAGGATCCTACCTATATATATATATATATATATATATAGAGAGAGAGAGAGAGAGAGAGAGAGAGAGAGAAAGAATAACATCTGTCATTTTAAAAGATATAAGCTTATATCATTTTAGATCCTAACAGTTGATTTCTGTCCATCAATGGTTATAATTTATTGGATCAAAATTATTAATTAATAATAAATTTGGCCCATTAAGCTTGACCCAATAGATTATAACCGTTAATGGACGGAAATCAACGGTTAAGATCTAAAATGATATAAGGTATATCCTTTAAAAGAATAGATATTTTTTCCATATATATATATAGAAAAAGATTATATTTACAAATTATTTGCTTACAAACTCTTATAAACTACACTATGTCTGACCGGTAATGCACTCTTGAGTAGTGTATTACCGGTCAGACATAGTGTAGTTTGTAAAAAAAAAATTTGTCAATATAACCCTACTTATATATATATATATATATATATATATATATATATATATATATGTGTGAGAAAATTAGTTCTTAAGCAGTTTGAGATATATTTATCTCTGTCTATCCAAAAACTATATCATTTTGTTTGTTTATTTTCTTATGTTAATTGATTCACATTAGAATGGTCATGATTTTATTTTTCTCTCTTTCTTTATTACCATTGATCAATCTTTATACGGTTATCATTTCTCAAGTTGCATATAGATAAACTTATCTCAAATTGCCGGAGAAATGTTTTTCTAATATATATATATATATATGGGAGAAGGATTTGTTTACATACTTTTTTTATAAAAATTTTGCAAATTATACTATGTACTACCAGAAATACATAGTGTAACCTAGTGTACTTCCGGAAGTACATATTGTAATTTGTAAGAGTTTGAAAAAAAAATTATAAATATAACTCTTCCTATATATATGATATTTTTTTTGACTTGATGATTATTGAATTATATAACTTAAAGTTTGATCTGGACCTATCAAACTTAGACATTATTTCATTTTATAATGAAATTGTCGTATATCAATATTGGCTGATTGATCTAAACAAAGTATAGACAATAGTACTTTTCAGCAATGTTATTAAACCCGACCCAGGCATCGACCCGATTGGAATATTCGATCACTGGGTTACTGGTCGGACCGGTTGACCTGGATATATATAAATATATAAAAATATATATAAATATGAACATATAAATTCAATTATATTCTTCATATTTAAAATGAATTAAACAAGGTTCACTAAATATGCTCAAAAACATGAAGCATAAATAATTAAAAATGCACACTATTACTATGTCAATTTAAATTGCAACTTAGAATATCCATAAACATACTTCTCAATAAACATTGAACCAGTGTTATTAAACCCGACCCGGGCATCAACCGGGTCGAGGTACTGAGTTACTGGTCGGACTAGTGGGCCACTAGTCGGACCGGTTGACCCGGATATATATAGATATATAAAAATATATATAAATATGAACGTATAAATTCAATTATATTCTCCATACCTAAAATGAATTAAACAAGGTTCAATAAATAAGTTCAAAAACATGAAGCATAAATAAATAGAAATGTATATTATTACTATGTCAATTTAAATTGCAACTCAAAATCCTCACAAACATACCTCTGAATGACATTGAACTCCGTATGTCACATTTGCTTCATTTATTATTCCACAAATTGCTTCAGTATTGGGAGCTGAAATCTGAGGTCATTGTAGAAGAGTATATTAGCAAATAAAATTATATACAAAAAAAATTAAAATTAGTTCTACATTTTTTTTTACAAGATGAAACAATTTTGATTTTTTAGTTTTTTTTTTAAATGTATGACTCGATCGGGTCACTGGGTCACCGGTTTTGACCGGGTCGATGCATGACTGATCCAATGCTTGACCCGAATCTAATGACCGGGTCGTCGGGTTCCAGATCGACCAGGTCGGGTCGGGTCTGGTTTTACAACTATGCATTGAACTCATATTTTTCATTTTAACTACATTAAAATGACATATGTCACATTCTCTTAATTTATTATTCAGCAAAAATTACTTCAGTATTGGAAGCTGAAATTTGAGGTCATTATAGAAGAGTATACTTGCAAATAAAATTACAAAAAATTTTAAAATGAGTTCAAAAAATTTTCTGACAAGATGAAACAAATTTTTTTTTTTGATTTTTTTTTTTTAAATGCATGACCCGACCTTGTCACTGGTTTTAATCAGGTTTGGCCGATTTTGACAGGGTTTGATCGGGTCAATGCATGACCGGTCCAAAGCTTGACCCGAACCGGTCTGATGACCGGTTCACCGGGTCCCGAGTCAACCCGACCAGGTCATGCCGAGTTTTACAACACTGCTTTTTACCCCTTGAAATGACCTACAAAATTGGCAAATGAAAAATGTAAATAACACATTATTTAAATTTTTTTATTATTACATGAAATTACATGCTAGTTCTATTGATAAAGAGTACACTTTAGTTATTTAATATGGTTAGTATAAAATTTTAGTCAACAATAAAGTAGATATGAAAAAAATACCAAAATATGTTACTAACATTTTTTTTTAAAGAAAATATGGCTTATATGTCAAACGCAGAACATTAGCTGCAATAACACCTCTGGACTTGATATTTCCCTTGTTTCAGCTGGCTTTTCTTCTGCCTTTTTTTACTAAGAGCTTGCCTTCCGAGATTAGAATGTTGCTGCCTTAAATTATGCATTGAATTGTTTAGTTGTTCCGCTATGTGAGGTTTCTTAATTAGACAACTCTTGAGGGTGGAATGCCATTTTCTAATAGGGGGTCAAATGTCATAACAAATGGCCTTGGCAATCCACAAGGTGCAACACTTGTATTCATTTACAGAGGTATATATTGAAAAATGTAGCCAGACAAGTAAAATACGCAAATAAAATGCAGTCGACCAAGAATTCAGACAATAAATTCACCCCTTAATTTGTCAAAAAACTAGTTCTTTCTACGTCATTAGTCACCTCGCCAATTGCAAGGCAAGCCATGTCACCCCCTCTCAAAAAAATAAAATAAAAAATAAAATCCCATCAAGAAAAAAGAGAAATACAAGGCGAAGTTATAAGCAGCTAGAGAAATCAATCGGTGTAAACTTATATCAAAAAAATAAAAAATAAAAAGAAAAAGAAAAAAGCAATCACATAAAATCATCCTAATGCATCATATAACTGATATTTTCTTCCTTGTTATCCATCTCCTTTTGGCGTTTTCCATGGCTTGCTCCCTCATCTTCTCAAGCTCACGAAAGCACTGATGATACTGTGTTTCTATTGCTTCAAGCTCCAACTGCAGCTCGTTTGAATTATCATTGTCAGCTAGAGTAAGGGAACACGTGCTTGACATATCAAAGTTTTTGGATGGACTGCAACACAAATTGATTAAAGACCCTGCTGAGTTCTCTGATTGATTCCTGTGTCCATCTTCTTGACCACAAAACCTGACACCTGAATTGGAATTGAAGCCATTGGATCTCTCGCAGCATTCATGAAGAAAAAGAAAATCAGGCTCCACAACTTTAGAATCTGAGGCAATTGTAATCCCATACTCCGCTGAAATATCAGAAATAACAGATTCTTGTTTCTCCTGTTCTTCCCCATCGACAAGCCGTGAGCAAAATAAATCCTTATCAATTGCCCTCATATCAAAATCACTTGATTGTGATGGCCAATGGCAGTTTAATGTTTCACCATTCTGAACTTCAGAAGAAGGCCAGTATAAACGATCTATTCCAGATGAGAGATTCTCAAATAAAGGTTTCCAGTTGGGCACAAGTTTAACAATCATGTTGTGTATTAGCTCAGCAATGACAGCTACGTCCTCATTTTTTAGTTCCAGATGTTCTACCATCTCCTCAGCAATTGAAATTACTGTATCAGATACAATATAGAATGGAAAATGGATATTCCTTGCTCCACCTACAGAAATATATTAACATTTAGCACACAGTAAAAGAAACAAAACAAAAGAAAAAAAAAAAACTGAACGTCACTCACCATGTGCATCAGCAATTCGCAGCGTAAGTGAAATAGTACTGTCAGAATTTCTCTCCCCTCTTAACCTAAATTCGTTATTCTCAGTTACCCTCAAGAGATCAAAAACTGAAACATGAGAAGTTTCTTCAATCCTTCTCACAGAGGAGCCAGGTGAAGTATGCCTGAAGTTTGAATCTATCTCCATGGGATGAGGTTCACATGTTGGTGGATTCACCAATTTGGTGGGGGAATTAGGCAGCTGCAATGTATCGTGTTTGATCTCCTTTGCATTTTCGGTTGCAAGGAATGGGTCTTTCAGTAGTTCGGATGCAGACAATCTCATAGATGCTGGAACTAGACACTTTTCTATAAATTGCTTCAGCATAGGATCATTTACTTTAGCAAGAGCAGCAGGCTTTATACCCTGAAAGTAAAAAAACCATTGATGAAAAATCAAAAACAAGATAAATCAGCCTAAATAAGTTAAAAAAACAGAATAAGAGTAAAACAGCATGGAATATTTGATGAACTCAATTGACTATAGACTTACAGAAGTAACTTTTTTATATATCTGTGCCGGATTTCTACATTCACTATACGGGTACTCACAGGTGATCATTTCCAGCATACACATGCCAAAGGAATATATGTCAACAAGTTCATCATATTCTTCCTCATAAAGCTCCGGGGCCATGAATTCTGGTGTGCCTGCACCAAGTGAGATTAAAAAACATTTATTTAATTTGAAAGGTTTAATTGAGCCAAAACTTCTTGACAATATATCAAGCAAGCATATTACCAATGACACTCCGGGCAGTAGGCTGCTGCATGACAATTGCCAACCCAAGATCTCCAATCTTAACTTGTCCATTATTCCCATTAACAAAAATATTATCACATTTCAGGTCCCTATGAATAACAGGAGGACTATGACTATGCAGAAAGCATAAACCTCGAAGAATCTGCCTCGCCCAGTTCTTGATGGCTTTCATATCAACATTCTTATGTTTCTTCCTATACCTGCATAAGCAAGATCAATCAATACGAAGATCGCAAAAACAAAAAAAAAAAAAAAAAAAAAAAAAAGCAAGAATGAATTTGAATTCAATAAACTCACTGCCTCAAACTCCCAGAGGTGAACAACTCAGTTATCATGTTAATAGTCCTTGCCTTATCATCCACCCAAGAATTATAGAGCTTAATGATATTTTCATGTTTCAAAGACTTGAGCAGATGAATCTCCGAATACAACTTTTCAAACTCTTGTGGTGACTGCAAAACATCCTCAATATTGATTTGGTTCCATGCAACTTCTATTCCACCTACTTCATCAAACGCCTTATATCTACAACAAGGTAATAAATCAATAAATAAATAAAAAATCAAAGAAATAAAAAAAAAGTACCAAAAGAAAACAAATGCGTTATTCACTAAATTGGCATACACAGTCTTGAAGGCTCCTTTCCCCAGCATTTCATCATACTGAAGAAGAAACGAAGATTTGATTATATCAACAAAACGCAATAAAGAATTACCCAAAGTAACAACAAAAACCAACAACAGTAACATACCCGTGCGTAACGCGAACTTGGATCTTTCTCCACAACACCAACATCATCACCGGTCTCAGAATCCATGTCAGATGCCAAAGACAAGAAACGAAAAATCCCCCAATAAAGAAGACAAGAGTTGAATTTTATCAAAGGGGAATTGGGTGGGGTTCAGAAAAAGCCTCAGAAGCCACCGAATAGGAATCGAATGCCGATCGAAAGAGAAATCGGCATCCGAGGAAACACATATCGGAGAATCGGAATTGCATAGCAGAATTAGGGTTTAGGACGCAGCGTCTCAATTGAATGCTCACACACAGAGCCATGACTTTATCTGCATCTTCTTCACAACCCCAAAACCCTAACCTAACACATCTTCATTCTTCAACGACAATTAAACAAAAACACAAACATCTATCTCAGCTGCATACAGCTAACTCTAATAGGGTGCGGTAGGCAACTCTCCAATTAGTCAATTACCCTCTCCTTTTCTTTTTCTTTCCTTTTTCTTTGGGGAGTACAGTAAACAATACGATTTGGTTGTTGTTATCATAATATCATCTTTAACTTAACACTAAATGCTCATTTTAAATGTATGGTCAACTTTCCTTATCTCCAATTCATCTTTATCCTATGAAAAAGGATGTTCGTACATTAAAATGAATAATTATTGTTATTATTTTTATTTTTATTTTTAATATCCACATCTCAATCCACGAGCAGTTCGAGGTATGTAAGGAATAGAGATAAAAGTGGGTCTACTCCACACCCTAACTTACAGAGCCCCGATGACGTATATCATGTCAATTTTGACTTATTATATATAATTAAATAAAATAGTTCAGAGATTTTAAAATAATTTATTTAGAAAGTAAGTTATAGATTTTTTTTTCATGCGAATCAATAAGTTTATAAATCGGTCTATATTATATTATTTACTTTAAATAAAATAAAATAATATTATTCATAATAATACTAAAATGGTGATAATTCAGTTAGTGTATGTAAGCTGAGTAAGTAGTGGAAGGATCTAGGTTCGATCTTCCACCAATACTACCTTTGTGAGTGACATAAAATTTGTACCAATCTCTACAGTAGTATCAGAATCCACATTTAGTGTTGGAGGAGAAGTTATTGATACCTATTGTTCCAGTTTAGCCGAAGATATCATTCAAGCTTTAATATATGGTGGAGATTGGCTACGAAATAAGTGTGGCTTGAAGAAAAAATAAAAGGTATAAAAAGATTTTTTGTTTTTAATCTTCTTTTTTTCTAATCTTTAATCTTGTTTTTTGTTTTCTACATTTACAAATTGTTTGCCAATTTATGTAACCTTGGAATTGTATTTGCAGGTGAGAGAAGATGATGAGAAATTTTTGGTTACTACAAGCATCATGATGCATTTGTTGGATTCATGCAGTTATTTTAATTTACATAGCATAGATTGATTTGTTGGATCTATTGAAATATATGTCATTTAATGTAGATTGTAATAAGTTGTTGTGATTCATGGTTTTGTTTGAACGTTGAAATTGTGATTTTTGTTTTAACAATAAAATTTGAGTATTTTGTGAAATTGATTCATATTCTGCTTGGAAGTTAAAAATTAACAAGTTAATGGGCCAGGCTAGGCCATTTGTCTTTTTATAAATGGGTCAAGTCAGGCTAACAGTTAGACTCGTATTATACTATCAGGCCACCAGGGGTCAAATTAAATTTTTTTTACATAATCAAACCAGATTTTAATTCAAATGTAACATCTAAATCAGGATAACGAGTACATAATGGCTTATAGTTATCAACATCAGGTTCAGCCAATTGTTTCAAACTTCTTTATCCATGATTTCAGAATTAACTTCAGAAGTACTAGAAGAAGTGAAATATGTTCTATTAAAGAAACTAGAACAATTAAAATCTGTATGCTCAGAAATAGGATCAAGTTTAGTAATTCTACTATAAGTCAACCTACGAGCTCTTCTAGTAGCATACGATGTTCTCTCTATTTCAGGATCAAATGCAAAAAGATCATGAACATTGGTATTACTCCTAGTCATGCATCATAGGCGCAGGCAGAAAGCAAAAAATATAATTTAAAGTAAGAAGAACAATAAAAACAGATGCGATTTCCCGGCAACGGCGCCAAATTTGACACGAGCTGTTGAACTCGCGCGAATTAATAAAATCAGTTTTCTTAAATTTTTTTAGCAAAGCATCAACTTGATTCATCTCTCAAGAAAATTTAAAGGGTTTAAATAGCAAATTAAAAATAAAAAATAAAATGGGTAATTTTTGTTTGCTTTAATTAAAATTAAATAGAATGTAAAATTGAAATTGAAATTTGTAATTAAAATAACCAACCTAAGGGTAGGATTCCTAGGACGTCTTTCCTCAGATAAAGAAAATATCAAAATCGTGATTGACCTCAATTGAATCAGAATCCTTGTATTCAATTAAGAACCTTCTCTAAGCGATCACCTAACATTTGGTCAAATAAGGTGCTTCTACTCATACAATCGCAGAGTATTATCCCGTTTGATTTAAGGTCATAGGGTTAATCAAACTAATCATCAAATTTGATAATTAATCTCTTTCCATAATCGAAATCCCAAATATCAGATTGAATATCCACAATCACACGATATCAATCTGAGTTTGGAAGAGAAACAAATATGATTAAAAGAAAAACGTAGATCCTCTAGACTAATCCATGGAATCCATTACCCTTAGGTTGATTAAAGGGTGCTTAGCCTAGCATGGCTAAGATAAACATAATTCAAAATTAAAAAGACAAAGAAGAACAAAAATGTAAATTGAGCTCGATAGAGAAAATTGTCAATCGTAAAAAAATTCCCAAAACGAAGTCAGCCGACAAGTTTCATAAACGAACCCTTTTAACCCACACCCAAATCGGGTTAGAGTTCAACTAATTTTTGCCCAACAAAACAATGGCATTGGGCCTCAACAGCATTGGGTTCTAATTGCAAATTTAAATCAATAAAATTCCAGCAACTCATTTCTGACTTGGGCTCTAATTTAGATCATCTTCTTGTCTGAATTGGGTTTTCATGTCTTCGTAGCATGTGTAGCCCTCCGAATTATCTTTTAATTTCAATAAGAACGGAGTCAATCGAACACTTTTGTGCAGTGAGATATGGTCAAAATACTAAAATAATGTAAAACTAGAAATTTATGACGCAAATAAAATGAACCCAATAAACAATCAAAAATCTAATTTAACCCAAAAGACCATTATTTTTGTTATGGACCCATATAACGGGCCCATTAAATAATAAGCCCAACAAGGGGCAATCCAAGATATGGATCGATACTAATAAAGGATACTAATCCTAATACGACAGCATAGCTACCAGACCTGGACCCTCGCCAGAGGTACCAAAGGCCCATATCCACAGGTAACCTTTATAAATACAAGGTAAACCCTAAAGGTATGGTACGCTCTCTCTTATTGTTATGTTGTCACTGTGCGCACACACACACCATATTGGCTAACACCGTTATAGTATTCTGTGCACAGTGATCTTCTTGACTCAAGGGTATCTCATCCATAGATACCTTGGAGAAGGCACTAGATCCAAGATCAACATACCAGCCTATTGGGCTGGACATCTCTGTCCCAAAGACGAAACATTGGCGCCGTCTGTGGGGGATTCTTCTCTGAATTTGAAGTTCACACCAATCTGATAAGGGATGGCAATCCAGACAAGGAGCAGTAGTCAGCAACCACCCCAAAACCAGAATCAACCGTTGGATCCAGTCCTGGAGGAGGTAAACCAACTTCAGAACCAGATCGGAAACAGCATGGATTACGACCACGTCCAGGTCGAGGACGACATCTCAGACACCGCATCTACTCCCGCGCGTCGAGATAGAGGGGTGGAGGCGAACGTGGCTCCAATAAGAAACAATCCTTCCCAGCATCCAGGAGACCTTGCTGCGCGTATTGCTCAATCGGCTGATCTGAATACTCGATTGGCCAATAATGCATTCGCCGCAATCATGGAACGAATTGCAGAATTGGAAACCCGTAATAACTTACAAGGGCAGCAAGATTTCAGGGCTATACGGGAGGAAAATAACAGGGGAATGCGAGACCTGGAGCAGCGCTTAACGCAGCTGACTGGACCAGGAGCAACCGACGTGGAAGGCCAACCTGCCAATGGCCGAGAAGGAGCTCGGAACTTGATTCATCCAAACCAGGTTCCTCATGCAGAAAACCACGAAAGGCCCAATCCCGTGAATGCAGTGAACCCGAACCAGGGAAACCAGGCTCCTAATGGCAAAAATGCTCAAAACCACCATGCCCAAGCTGACGGTCAGGAGGACCGGGTTAGAACTCATCCTGAACAGAATGCTTAAAATATCTGAGGGCGGGTAGAACCCGGCGGATACAGAAGGAAGTACAGCAGGGGGCAGTACAACAACAAACCCTTTTACTGGTGAAATACTAAACGCTGTCTTCCCAGAGGATTTTGACTCGGCACGTCTGCCAAAGTACGATGGGAGCCAGGATCCACAGGTCCATATAGATGCTTTCGACACAGATATGTATATCTGAGGAATTGATGAACCTCTCATATCCCAGATATTTGCCATAACCCTAACTGGGGCAGCGCAGGCATGGTTTTCAACCCTTCCTGCTAATTCCATCGGATCCTTCGAGGAATTCGGACAGAAGTTCCTCTTGAACTTTGTAACTAGCAAAAAGCATCCGAAGTCCGAGTTCGCTCTCGGAAAGATACGACAGCAACCCGGAGAAACCCTCCAGAAATACCTTAACCGGTTCAAGGACGCTGCATTGCAGGTCCCAGGGTTGCAAGAGAATGTCCACGTACACCTCATTGTGGCAGGTTTGGATGGTGCATCAAGGCTAGCCAAGTCGGTCTATAAGGACCCAATGAGGATGTTGGAGGAACTCAGAACTCGTTCGAAGAAATATCTCGAACTAGAGCAAATGGAGATTGCAAATGCGCAGTCTGATGAGGGCAAGAGGGTAAGCCCGAGCAGGAGAAGCCCAGCCCCAAAGGGAAAAGAACGAATCGACAATAAGAAAAAATATCCTCGCCCAAGAATCCCAGACATGAGGGATCAGGTTGGGAGGTATGATAAATACACACCTCTGAATGCGTCGCGTTCTCAAATTTGAAGAGAAGTAGCAATGACAGAGATAAATAAGGTGCACAGAACCCGACCTATATTTGACAGAGGAGGTTTGGGTAAGTCCAAATATTGTGCTTTCCATGATGGGCCTGGACATACAACTGACCAATGTTGGGATCTCTGAGATGCTGTGGAGAGGTTTGTAAGAGATGGACGATTACGTCAATACGTGATCAAAACTCAAGGGTCCAAAAACAACAAAAGGAAGTCGGGAAATAGAAAGAGAAGTAAAAGCCCGGTTCCTGAAATGAAGAATAAGGATGAACGAGATCGCAAAGATGATCCCAACTTTGACGAGTTCCCGAAAGCGGAATTTGACTGCAATGTAGTCAGTGGAGCCCTTGGAGGAGGTGAAGACACCATAAGTGCAAGAAGGAAGTACTTGAAGGAGGTCCTTTCAATTCGGGACCGTCCTAGATTCAAGCAAGCCAGATCCCCCTTTGTTGTACTTTACAAAGGGGGACATGCATGGCGTGTTGCCCGGGCATGTTGATGGGCTTGTCATAGCTGGAACTCTGGTAAACTGCCGGGTTAAAAAGATTTTTGTTGATGCAGGGAGTAGTGCCGACATCATACTATGGGATGCCTTCAAAAAGATGAACCTGGGTGAGGAGGACCTCAAACCTTGCAAAACTACTCTGATAGCTTTTAATGGAGAGCATACACCTCCTAAAGGCTATGTAGATCTCAGGTTGACCCTGGGAACCAAGGAAGCATTCAAATCAGAACGGGTAAGGTTCATAGTGGCTGACTTCCCATCAGAATATAATATAATTCTTGGGAGGCCAACTATACACCAGTGGGACATGCTGGTTTCCACGAAGCACCAAAAGATAAAGATGCTAAGCAGTAAGGGCGAAATAATTACTGTTTGTGGAGATCAAAAGGAGTCCAGAGGATGCTACTTAGACATAGTTAAAGATAATGAGGATGGACACACAAGTCCACCCCGGGTTCATGCAGGGGATAAACAAGGAAAAAATGCTATCCAGCACCACTCCAGGAAACCCGTCAATGTGGTTGAACTCGACATGAGAGAAGAGGTAATACCGAGACCCGAACCCGACAGAGAGCTAGAAAACCTGGTACTCGGAGCAGACCCCGACCAGTTTACCCGAATTGGTAAGACTATAGATCCCCAAATTAAACAAGTATTGGCCGACTTTCTCAAAAGTAACACAGATGTATTTTCCTGGAAGTCGTCTGAGATCCCCGGCATTGACCCCACCTTATGCTGTCACAAACTGGCAGCTTATCTGGGGTCTACGCCGATTTCCCAAAAGAAAAGGAAGCTGGGACCAGAAAGAAAGCAAGTTATACAAGAACACGTCAAAGAGCTCTTGGATGCAGGGTTTATTCGGGAGATACAGTACACGACATGGCTTGCCAATGTGGTGATGGTGAAAAAGCCAAATAGAAAATGGAGAGTCTGTATTGATTATACAGACTTAAACAAGGTTTTCCCAAAGGATTCTTATCCTATGCCTAACATAGACCAGCTGGTAGATAACTCGGCTGGATTTCGTCTGATGTCCTTTATGGATGCCTACTCGGGATACAACCAGATCCCAATGTACCCCGTGGATCAAGAAAAAATGGCCTTTATTGCTGAAAAGGCCAACTACTACTACAACGTGATGCCTTTTGGGCTTAAAAATTCAGGGGCAACCTACCAGAGGATGATGAATACAGTCTTTGAAGATCAGTTGGGCAAGAATGTAGAAGTCTACATTGACGATATGATCGTAAAGTCATTTGATAAGGCGAATCATGTCCAGGATCTCGAACAAACATTTCAAAAGCTCAGGAAGTACCGCATCCGCCTCAACCTGGTAAAATGCGCGTTTGAGGTAGCAGCTGGGAAGTTTTTGGGTTTCATACTAACCCATAGAGGAATTGAAGCGAACCCTGACAAATGCAAGGTAGTACTTGGTATGAAAGCACCCCAAAGCAAAAAGGAAGTTCAATAGCTAATCGGTCGATTAGCTGCACTAACCCGGTTCCTGCTGAAGTCTGCTGAAAATGCCCTTCCATTCTTTAAACTTTTAAAGAAGGAAGCAATTGACGGATGGAACCCGACGTGTGAAGCCGCGTTCGAGAAGGTCAAGAAATGCTTAGTAACTCCACCAGTCCTCTCGAAGCCAAACCCAGGAGACATTCTGATCCTGTATCTGGCAGTAGGGGAGGAAGCAATAAGCGTTGTACTCATCAAAGAAACTAACGAAGGCCAAGAGCCGATTTACTTTGTCAGTAGAGCTTTACAAGGCGCAGAGGTCAGATATCAAAAGCTAGAAAAGGTGGATTTTTCTTTGCTGGTCACGGCCAGGAGATTACGACCATACTTTCAGGGTCATCAAATAGTTGTCAGGATCAATCAGCCTATTCGACAGGTCTTGCATAAGTCGGACCTGGCAGGAAGAATGACCAACTGGGAAATTGAGCTCAGTGAATATGACATAACATACGAAAGCCGGAAAGCCATCAAATCACAAGCTCTGGCCGACTTTATAATGGAACTGACGCCAGTAAACTCAGAACGTGAGGAATCCGGAGATGCATGGAAGGTCTACGTAGATGGATCCTCCATCAATAAAGGAAGTGGGGTTGTAATCATATTAGAAAGCCCTGAAGGAGTAACGATTGAACATTCTCTGAACTTGGGATTTCCAACCTCAAATAATCAAGCTGAATATAAAGCTCTGATAGCTGGGCTGATGCAGGCCAAAGAACACGGAGCTAGGAAAGTTCAAATCTTCAGTGATTCACAGCTGGTAACTTCGCAGATAGAAGGAAAGTACCAAGCTAAAGGTCCTTTGCTAATGATATACCTAAGTCGAGTTCAGGAAATCATGGCCGACTTTGATGAGGTGCGGGTTACTCACATCCCACGAAGGGAGAATATCCGAGCTGATATTCTGTCGAAGTTAGCCAGCACCAAAAATTCGAGTAACCACAGAACTGTGGTTCAGCAAAGTATAGCAATACCAAGTTGCGTGATGGTGATAACCTCCGCAAATGACTGGAGGAAACCTCTAGTAGATTACCTTGAGAAAGGAATATTGCTAGAAGACCACCTGGAATCCAGAAAGCTGGTCCGAGATGCGACACAATACATAATTGTGAATGACCAGCTATTTAGAAAGGGTTTGCACAACCCCATGCTAAAATGCTTGAACTCGGAAGGAGCGAAATATGTGCTCACCGAGATCCATGAAGGAATAAACGGCCATCACATGGGAGGCAAAGCCTTGGCCAGAAAAGCCCTCAGAGCTGGTTACTACTGGCCGACAATGGGGGCAGATTCCAAAGAACACGTCAAGAAGTGTGACAGCTGCCAGAAGCATGCCAAACTAATCTTTTCACCACCTGAAGAGCTGAAATGTATCTCGGCTCCATGGCCTTTCTTCAAATGGGGAATGGATTTACTAGGACCCTTCAAAGCTGCGGAAGGTCAACTTAAATGGCTGATCGTGGCTGTGGATTACTTCACGAAGTGGATAGAAGCAGAATCGGTCACCACAATCACCTCGGCTAGAGTGCAAAGGTTCTTTGAACGAAACATTGTTTCTAGATTCGAAATTCTAACCGAGGTGGTCACTAATAATGGAACACAGTTTGCTGATAAGAGATTCCAGCAGCTAATGAAAGACCTACACGTCACACATCGCTTCGCATCTGTGGAACACCCACAATCGAATGAGCAAGCCGAAGCAGCCAACAAAGTTATTGTGGAAGGTCTCAAAAAACCAATGTTTGATGCTGAAGAAAGCTGGATTCAACAACTATACTTTGTCCTTTGGGGTTACAGAACAATCACCCAAACTGCAACAGGGGAACCCCGTACAGACTAACGCATGGATGTGAAGCCATGATTCCGGTGGAGATTAGAGAACCCTCGTAGAGAAGACTGAATAGTCTTGAACAAGGCGAACAACAAAACAGTAAGTTGCTTACTGAAGAGTTAGACCTTGTGGACGAAGCCCGGGTTACAGCTCACTGCCGGAATATGATGACTAAACAACAAACAAAGGCAAAGTATAATAAAAAAGTGAGACCAAGAGTTTTTGAGAAAAATGACTTGGTACTCAGAAGAGCAGATATTGGCAATAAGAATGCCAGAGACGGAAAGCTCGCTGCGAACTGGGAAGGCCCGTATCGGGTTAAAGAGAAGCTCGGCAAAGGGGCCTACGTCCTAGAAACGATAGAAGGCAAAGGAATCAAGAGAACCTGGAATGCGGATAAGCTAAAGATATACAACAGCTAAATCGGGGATCCACCTTCATTCATTCGCAGTGCTATTTTAATGACATTTTCCTCTATTAGGGATTTAATTAAAGCCGAATATGCCGACAAATTCATGTAGCTTACAATTTGATATCAATAAATGAGGAATTTTTCTTTTTCAAGATCTATCATTATCTACTTTTGATGTATCAACACAAAATCCGAGGTACAAACACAATTTGTCATAATGACTATGATCAGGTCAAAATGTCCCCATTTGGTCACGATACCAAAAGGGACAAATGGCATTATTGTTTTTACCTTAGATAAAATTGAGTTATGAAATTCAAATTCAATTAAATGGTTAAGTCAAAAGACGAGATCCATTACCTATGCACGCTTACCAGAACGGGTAAGTTAAACAAACATGCGTCATCGAAAATGACATAAAGCGGAATCCGTACAATGCTTTGACCTCGGCCATGTCATGAACAAAAAAACTCGTATGATGCATGGGTTTAAAAAACTAAATTGGGATGAAGTTTTCACCCAATAAGTGATATAAAATAGTGAAAATTAGGTATATAACTCGTAAAGTGCGCGGGTAAAATATATCTATCTAAATCGGATTTGAATCTGATTAACTCGGAATCCCACTTAGGATTTCCCAAAGCATGGGGCAAAGCCGGGTATTGAAAAGAAAGCTATCTGGGTTACCCAACTCGGTAACCACAATGTAGGAACCTCAGATAGGGATTTACGCATATGCCAGAAAAGACTAACTCATACACTTCGACATTACACAAAGGAGCGGGCTAATCAATAAAGCAAATGCAACCCCGCAACGACATGCCGAGTTCCGCAAATTCGATAACCTAAATAAATGCATCTATGGTGAATTCGGAATTAAGAAATGCAAAGCAGCAAACAATAAAGCAGGCTATGGGAGACAAATCATATGTTTAGAAAGCAAAATTAAAACTGGGATAAAACCAACGATATTCGAACTAAAACAAAAAGGGGCCCAAAGCCCCAGCAGGATTACAAATATAACCGACATCCCGAACCTTAATGCAGCCGGAGCATCACGACGAGTATTTACATCTTCACCTGCCTCAATCATGGATTCATCCCTGCATTCTGTCTGCGTCACAGAATCGCAGGGGGGAGACTCGGGGGGAGGACTGATAATTGCACCCTGGCTGACATATGCTTTGGGATGTATCCCGACAATGGTAAAGGACAGATCCGGATTCACAACCCGCAGCTGGCTCAAAGCGTTGTTGAAGGAGCCCACTACAGATTTCTCAAGTTCGGCTCGGTATTTCTCCACAGCAAGCATGGCTTCCTTCAACTCCACTTCAGCTTTCTCAAAAGTGATCTTGAAATCACTTAATGATTTATGGTTGTATGCATGCAAAGTTTGTAGTTCATTATGCTCACGCTGCAGGTTGGTAAACTCCTCTTTCGTTTTTGATAACGTTAGAGCGATCTGGTCCTTTTCTCCCTTCACCAGGGACAAATCAGCAATGGCTTTTGCTTTTTCACCCTGGCAATTACTCAGGTCATTAAGGGTTCAAAGATAATTTTGCTTCAGAGAGAGCAGCGGCCTCGCCATTGTCGACATCTTCATACAATTCAGCTCCTTTTCCTCCAACTCCCTAATTTGGGCAGAGGAAAATGGGGTAGAGTTGAAGAAAATCTCGGGGGGACCAACTACTTCTCGAAGGCCAGCCGTAATCCCGGACTTCCACAAAGCACGCTTTGAAAGGCCGGATGATGGTGGGGGCATGCTAGAGGTCTGCATAATTTGGGTCGAGGCCGGGTTAACCTTGTCCGGGTTACCTTTGACTTTATCCCCAGCAGCCCTCTTGTTCTTCTGGGAATGGTCAGCGGTCTTCTCGATCCCGTCATCGGCATCCTTCCTCTTCCGCACACCGGAATCAGAAGCCGTTCCCTTCCCACCTCGGTTCAGAACTAAAAGCCAGCTGGGTCGGTCGTCTTTCTGGTCCTGTTGCTGGTTTTCTTGGGGGTCGGCCATGTTAGGAACTGGAAAACAAATCCGACCACATGGTCATAAAATGCAAAGACAAAAAGCTATAAATATAAATAAACATCCCATACTTAATTCTACGTCCAGTTCCTCTTAAGATTTGTAAATCAGAGAGGCAACACTAACAGGTTGGCGTGAGTGCAGAAAGGAACCAATGGCAATGGCGGTATTGATGTCACTGGGGTTTAATTCTGACTCATTGAAACGATATCTCGAAGGTGGAAATTGAAAATGGTCAGACGACCAACATAGGGGAAACCTACCCTCGACTTCTTTGGCATCACGGTTATGGAGAAACCATACCTCTTTTCTGGGATGAGCTGAAACTTTGAAGAATTGGTTTTTGAAGTTCTTGAACGATTCAGTATAAGCCTGAAACAGTCTACGACCAGGAATGCCGCGTATGGTAACCCAACCTTTTCGTTCGGGTGGCTTACGACTTGTTCGACAGAACACAACTTGAAAGTAATAAAAGAAGACAGGAATGGAGGGGGGAACAACGAGATAAGCACAAAAGCGTTCAAACGCCTAGACAAAACCCCAGCCGTTGGGATGAAGCTGAGTGGGTGCCAAGTGAAGATGGTTAAGCACATCCACCTTAAACTCGGTCAGAGGAAATCGGATACCCAGTAGACATATGACATCGCGGTAAAAGAAAAAGAAAGAAGGATTCTCTTCTGCCCCCCGGAGCAAACCGGATGATCCTCTGGTGGAGGAACTATATCATAATTCTCTAACCGACCGACGGGAAGACCTGCCACATCGTCCGAACTCATCTCGGACGTGGTGTTTAAAACCTCGTACATCACCCAAGGAAACTGGGACACAAGAGAAGCAGGCGGAGAATCGAAACATGACTCGGCAGAACCTGACTCATCTACGATTTCTTGAGCACAAGATGCCATAAATACCTAAAACAAGGAAAAAACCGAAATCATGAAGGAAAAAGAATACCTGAATCAGAAAAGATATCAGCAGAGTCACTAGACGATGAAGATAATGTCTGAACGGATAATGGGATAGAATTATCTATTCCTCCTAATGCAGAAACAGACTTATCTCCATGCCAGCAAGTAGCCAGCGTGGACTCGGCCAAAGAGGCGCAACCTTGCTCAACAAGCATGGCACTCAAGTAAACACAAGAGTAGCAAGGGATACTCCTTGGAATAGAAGAAGGCATTGAAGCTTGGGGGTGGGGCAAAGATCTCGGGTGTACAATAAGTTCAGTAGAAGAATCAGATCCGGGTTGGGAACAAGAGTATGAAGCATGCCTATTCACACTACGATGGCCCCTAACCCGGCGGGATGAACCCCTATCTTGGGAATGTCGCAACCCTCTATGCGACAACCCGGATGCCCTCCGAGACTTGCCACCACGGCAACCTTGTAGCATAGCTTCCTACTCTTCCTCTTCGGTCCTAGGGAGTCCCCAAAGCCAGAAACGAGCACAAGGAGGAATATTTTTCAAAAAATCAGGATACTCCTCCCTCTTCCCTTTAAGACAGAGAGCTAAAGAAGGAGAATTTTCCCCCCTCATTCGGTCAAGATACTGAAAAAGGCTAAAATATCAAATGCAAAGGGAAGACAAGGAGGAGGACATAATGGTAATCACCAAAGCGACAAAATGAAACAGAAAGTTCTAAGAAATGCAAGCTATGGAAATAATCATAGATTCTGGAAAAGAGGCCAGAAAATCAACGAAGAAAATATGCAACTTCACATTTACAAATGAATGCTGGAAAACAAATGTCCAAATGCAAAATCGTACAATAGAAGCAACAAAAAAGGTGAAAACGTGTGAAATACCTGTTGAGAAGAAGATGAAAAACTGAAACTGAAATGTCGAAATGCAAACGAAAGGAGGATGATGCACAACACTCAGAAGGCACGCAGACGAAAACAACCAAATAACGCTGGTGCACAATGCTCAGAAGTGAAACGAAAGCATGTAAGAGGAAAAGAAAGCTTATATAGCCAGGACAAATGAGCACTGAGGTGTGAATAACAAAGGTCAAGGTTATTTAGGTCCTTTCACCCTCAACTCATAACTGCCACAATCGTGGGTGGAAACCGCAATCATCATGCACGGAAACCACATCACGGAGGAGGCTAAGGGGCAAGGGCAAAATTGCCACTTCCCCCCATAAAGCAATGATTAGACAACTGAAACGATGCTGCAATAAATGCGCACGAAACGCAACGACGACATAACAACGGCTGCAGCACGCTAAAGCAAGCAGGCTGGAACACGTGGTAGAATGCAATGAGTATAATTCAAAAACATATATATAAGACAAGGTATATATGCACATACAACTGTCTTCCGAGTTCGAAGCTGACGCTGGGGGCAATTCAACAGTCAACTCACGATTATTCAAGCGTAGCTTTTACCCGGCTACACAACAAAATCTTAGACGGGTTCGTAAACAACCCGTCCAACAAGGTAACAGGCATACATGCATGCCCCAGTAACCCGAATAAAATGTCGACGATGGGGGCAGTTCAACAGTCGAATCAAGACTCTAAAAACGCGTCCTTTACCCGGTTACTCCATGAAGCATCGACGAGTTCATGCACAACCCGTCGACCAAATAAATGTGCAGATACAGTCCGAGATATGGGATACCACTTGGGGGAAACCCGCAAGTGGGACATAAACGAGTTAAGCATATCCCTAACTCGGAGTAAAAACACGGTTGATGCTCAACCTGTTGACATAACGGGGCAAGGGGCACCCCGTATAAAAAAAAATAAAAAAATTTCCCTCATAAGCGGAGCATGCAAAGTTTGCAACAACGCAAACACATCCAGAAACAAAAAAACCTGGAAAGATGAAAACAAAAGTTCACCCCGACTACCCGGACACCCCGGTAGCCTGGCTGAGGGGCAACTGTTATGGACCCATATAACGGGCCCATTAAATAATAAGCCCAACAAGGGGCAATCCAAGATATGGATCGATACTAATAAAGGATACTAATCCTAATACGACAGCATAGCTACCAGGCCTGGACCCTCGCCAGAGGTACCAAAGGCCCATCCACGCTACCTACGGGTAACCTCTATAAATACAAGGTAAACCCTAAAGGTACGGTACGCTCTCTCTCTTACTGTATGCTGTCACTATGCGCACACACACACCCCATTGGCTAATGCCGTTATAGTATTCTGTGCACAGTGATCTGTTTGACTCAAGGGTATCTCATCCATAGATACCTTGGAGAGGGCACTAGATTCAAGATCAACATACCAGCCTATTGGGTTGGACATCTTTGTCCCAAGGACAGAACAATTTTCATTTCAAATAATCCTAAAATACTAATCGAGAATGATAAATAAGTGCAATGAAATATTCATTATCAACCATCAACAAGTTCTTTATATGATACTAAGGTATTAAGGCCATGCTTTCCAATGTAACTAAGAAGCACCTTTCATATTAACCTGAGACATAGTTTAGCTTTCCTCCCTTGATGTCATCATAAGGATTCACAATAATTTATTTGTCCCTTTCGAGAGCGGTTTATACATGATGTGTTTGACTGCAAGTTTGCCCCATTTGTCTTACTAATGAAAAGGATGTGGCCTTTGGTTGTGGGCGTCAGGTAGCCAATGATATTATATGCTGCTGATTAGTTTTGAATCTAAGGCTATATGAAAACTATATATGATCGCTCTCCCTTTTATTTCCTCTCATGTCATGGCAGACTTGTTGTGAATGTGGAGAAGACCTCCAATTCTGCCCCATATGCAGGAGCACAATCCATACTAGGATAAGGCTCTACTAGTTAACTTTGTTGTAGACCTGTTTTCAATGAAATTTTCATTCATTGCCAGAATAAGGTTAGCCATGAACGTTTTGATAACGTCAAAAATTGAATGTTCTGTTGATACCATAACTCATAAATTAACGTGATTTATAAAGCAGGGTCGCAAAGAGAAGTGCAGAGTTGGTATGGATCTTTTGACGGATGGGTTTCTTGTGCATGAAAACTTACATGCCTTGTAACGAAGAGTTGTTTATAGAAATAATGGACCTTAACTATAACTGTCAAAATGGGTCAGCCCGTCTCATTTGGCCCTAACTCGTGTGGGTCAGGGTCAAAAAGTCCGGAGGGCCAAATGAACCTCAATAATAAAGGTTCGCACGGGCCAAAAGCCCTATTAGTTAGGGTCAGCCTGCGGGCTATTTAAAATTATAATTTTTTAATTTTTTATCATATTCAATACTTTAAAAAATATTTTAACACTTTCTTAACATATTTATACAAATTATAAATTTTTTATAATTTAATTTTTTTAATAAAATAATATTTGTACACAAATATACAAGTGAAAATGTAAATCAAATTATAATATGAGTGAAAATTTAGTTACTACTTTTACTAATCCATTATTAAATGATGCCATCTAATAAAGATTTTCTTACCGGGAGTCATAATATAATACAAAAAATATAGTGGAAAACAAAAAGTAAAGATGAAGCAATTATTTTAATACCAGTATTGAATAACTGCTCTTAGTATGCTATATATTTGAAAGTAAAATTATTGATTTTCTTTAACTACTACCGTTACAAAAAAACTTTTTAGTTATTATTATCCACAAAATTACTAAAGTGCATTGCATACAACATGTTTCAATACAAATTTGGATGTATGACATGCTTAGATGTCAATAGAAATTTTATTTTTATTGTTGCGTAGATGAAAATATCTGTTAAAACATATCACTGCTAAAAAATTCATTTTTGTTGTAAATATTATGGATGAACTTTTACATGGTTCATAACACGCGACTCTTTGTTTTTTTCATAACACGCGACTCTTTGTTTTTCATGACCTTTGATATATTCTATAACCATCAGACTAATGGTATGTTGAATTGTAGAATACATATGGATGACCTTTCACGTGGATTATGGATGACCTTCTACATAATTAATAACATGTGACTTTTTATTTTTTCAAGACTTCTATGTTTAAATATGTTTATAAGATATGTCCTTATATAAGATTCTTTGCTCATATTTATTCTTATTTTATTCTTTCTTTTATTTATTTTTTTGGTAATCATTCTTTCTTTTATTTTATTTTTACGCTTCATTTTTCTTTCTTTTAATTTCACTTTCTTTTATATTCTCCATTAAATTCACATCAAAATTTACTTATATTTATAAATATTTAAATATATATAAATTTTAATTTTTTAAATAATGAAAATTTTGATTTTCTTTCATTGGGAGGGGTGGGAAAAAAATTCTTATAAAAATCCTTTCATAGATATGGATACCTAATTTTTATCGAGTCCGAATCCCACATTTTTTTAAACTAAACTCTTTACAGCAAGTTACATGCAGATAAAATCAGATATAACATGACTAACTCTTTGGAAAAAATGATGATATTTGAAGTTATTCACTTACCAAATACATAATGTAGTCTCAACTGTCCTTTAAACAACTTCCTTTCTGCCTAAACTTTCTTCTACCAAAAAAAAGAAAGCCAACAAAGTTTTTGAACCTTCAATAATGAAGGGATGCATTTAACAACAAATTAGACAACAAGCTCTTTCTCTCTGGCTCTTGAAGGAACTTTTTATCTTCTATGTAAGTCTGTATTTCCACAACAGTCTTTGTCAATTCTGGTACTTGAAGTGATTTCAGCTGAACTAAAAAGTTCTCAGAGATGACTTTCAGCATCTTTAAGAATTGAGATTTATATTTTCTAAAGAGAGCAAATCTAGCCATCTGAAAACGTAAGAATTTTGTTAACCTTAGAAGATGTATATAACAAAGCACCTCAACATTCTACATTACTTGCAAAAATGCATTGAGCGAAACAACTGTATATTGTTTGGCTGGGAGAGCATTCAAGAACCTTGCAAGCCATGCCCAACCTTCTTGCATGCCATGCAAATTTTGAACATTTGGAATTTCAGTCTATCAAAAGAAGCATGGAAAACAGATCAAATGAGATTAGTGAGATGAGAAACAGTAGTTGGCAACCTGCAAATATTATATGTAAATTTGTTAAAAATTTGAGACAATCATGACAGACCTGAACCAGTGCACCATACACCATCATGAATGATTCTAATCGCTCTAAATAATGTTTTGTACTCTCCATCTTTTTTTTTTTTTTTGAAATATTCCAATCAGTTCATTGCTTCGCAACTAATCCGATTCGGGGCTGGTCTAGGATTAAAGCTTTAAACCCCTCCCAAAGGTGGTACTGGAGAGATTCGAACACATGCTCTCACCCCCACCTGCTTAGCTCTCCATCTTTCTATCATCTTTTTGATAACCAATACTTCTTAAGTATGCCTCTTCTAATTGAAAGGTAGACTGACAGGGAAAAATTAAGAATCCAGATTCAACAGCGTAAGTACCCCATGTTTATAAAATTATATCTAAAGAACACATCCGCAAGCATATATCATCAGAAAATAATTATCCTCCATAGTAACATTATATATTTTTGAGTTCAAATATTCAAGGCAGTGGAAATTAGCACTAGTAAAAACTAAAAAGAACTTTTCTTTTATATATCTATCATCCAATATAGCAAAATTATGCTTTCCGCAGTAATTGATGTTTCTCTGTAGAAATGTCATTGTTAGTCAAAAAAGTTGGATAGCTAATGTTTACATTAGAGCAGTTAAAGCAAAACCTTATTGGCAAAATAATGTTTCATTCAACACCTCACAGGTCTATTAACAAAATAATGCATACTCGTTATTTCTTCCACTAAATGTGACAGACTGATAGTGTTCAATCTACCTAAGATTTGCTCAAAGAGCAACTCATAAAAACCAGTTTCATAGGCTAACCACAATCACAATACAATCAACGTACAATTGATTAATAGATGGGCAACAAAATCAAAATTAAGCATTCGTCATGCAGCAGCAAGTGACTGCGAAGTTAGTAATAGCAAACTATTCAAACATCTGTTAGTAACAATATTAACAAATTGCCATTGATAATGCACGATAACTGCAGACACCATAGTACTAAACCACGGTCTTTTAAGTCACAATAGTTGAAATGAAATTTGAAAACAAAACCATTCAGTTAAAAATGATTGAATTTAGAAAAAAAAAAAGAAAAACATTAAAATTGTCTTATAAGCTTATAGATAATTTAACCACACGAAATTCTTCTTCAACTCCATGATGCAATCAGCTGTTTCACAATAATTATGGCTTTTTTCTATATTCATAGTTATGGAGAAGCCTGCCTATGTTTCTCACAAGCTTTACCAAAATAGCAACCCGCAAGAAAAATCTGGAAAGAAGCTAGTAAATGTCAGCATTCTCTTGATCAATTATAAGGGTACCAATTAACTATGCTCATAATAATTCTTACCACACAACTAAAATTATAAGCTTACCAATTAACAAGCTTGCATCCTATATAACACTTCACTGACCAAAATTCATCTCTGAATATCTGCATAGAACATTACCAACATTAACAAGGTTCTGGTTGAACTTGTAACCCATGAAAAAACTTGAAAAAAAAATAAAGAAAAAAAATTCCAATGCAGAAGACAACAAACATGGTCCTTGCTGCAGTGAAGTAAAAGAAGTGAATATCAAACCCAATTACAAGAATGGACTATAGAGCAAACTCATTCTTAGGACAGGTTACTATCCGTGACGCCGAAAGCGCATAGATAAGTGGCTAAACAGAAAGTTGAGATTTCATAAGAGAGTAACCCTTTGGTTCTCAATTTCTATTAACAAAAGGGAAAAGTGTTTATCCTTTTAAATGACACAACTTATATCCTTTCACTCTCACAAAGAGGTGGGACACACACCTTTATTTTTTTTGTCAACTCTCTCTCCTCCTTTATCTATCTCTTTCTCTTTCCTGAAATGACACAACTTTACATCCTTTGAAATGACACACATTTTATCCTTAACAAAATAATAAAATTCAACTCCTAGAATAAGGGTCATAAGCACCCTTTTATAGACTAATTACAAATTGATTCAAAATTCTAAATCTAAAATTCTAAAAATAATAAAACTTCCTAAAATAAAATAACAGTAATTAAAATCTAAAAATAAATAAAAATTTCAAAATACATCCCAAATCTTTAATCTCAAATCACGTCAAATATGTTGCTTTCCTTTTCTTCCCAAACAAATCACAATCACATCTGCTGCTTTATAGGGATTTGGATTCGATTGTAAAATTTGTTATATTTCAAATCATTGCCTTTTTCAACGAGTGGGTCATACTTATTGGGCCACAACTCTAATTGACTACGAGCTTCTTGAATCAATAGTTAGGTCATGTGTAATGGGCCAACTGTAAGTGCATCATTCTCCGCTGCTAGGAAAAGATTCGTCCTCGAATCTTGTTTATCTCCACTGATATGAATTTCTTTAGACAAAAATTCAAATGATAAATCTTCCTCTATTAGATCTTCATAATCTGATTCACCATCAGATTTATTATAGACTGGATTATCAACATAAACTGAATCTTCATCATAAGATGAATAATCATCATAAATGAGATAATTATCAACAATCGGATAAACTGAAATTTTGTAGGGTTTGCTTTTTATATAGTATATCTACATTGAGCCTAAAACGACGTCGTTTTGAGACGAAAATCAATGTATTTTTGTAACTATAATTTATTTCAGGGTTATAATAAATTTTTTATTTTTTCAACTCAAAACGATGTCATTTTGAAAGCAAATGTAGGTAACTTATTTACATTCACTGTAGAAACATTAATTTTATATTTATATTTCTTTTGTATTTCTCTATTTTTCCCATCCTGATAGTTATAATTTATTGAATAATACTTATTAATTAATTATTAATAAATTTTAATAGTAAAAAGTGATACTCCGAATCAAGCTACTTAACCCAACACATTACATTGCAATGACTGTGAACATGTTGAAATTCTGATGAGGGTCTTCCCGGCAATGGTTCCGAGTGCTGCTGAGAATTTAAAGTGAAATTAGATATTGCCAACAAAAAAAAAGTGAAAGCTTTTACAATACATATTCACATTAGAAAATACTTTTCCTTTGGTGAAAAACATAGTCTAGCTAGCATAATCCAAGCCGCTACGGCCCTAAAGAAACTAAGGTGGTGTTTGGTATAAAGGTATCACAGGGATTACCGATAAATCTTCTTTGGTAAACATCGATTCCTATGTTTAGTAGAAGTATCAAAAATCAATTCCCGGGTATCCAAACTTTACTGGTAAAGCATTTTACAAAAAAAAATTACTGTTTGGATTAGGTGGTTTTCATGATTACTGAAGGAAGAGAAAACAGATAACATATTTTTGAGACAATAATACCCCCAACACACATCAAATTAGTAGGTCTGGTGTCATTGAAAAGTTAAGGTTAGTTTTGTAAAATCAACATATATTACCAGTAATATTTTACTCACAACCAAACATATACTCAGTAAAATTATTAAATTTACGTCTACCAAACAACTTTTTTATATTATTTCTGATAAATTAGATTTCTTTGTATACTACTAATTATCATGATTTCCGAATACAAAAAAATTTCTCTTGTACCAAAAACACCCTAAGAGTACCAAAGAATAAATGTAACAATACTATCCTTCGACTAAGGATGCCTTTTCCATTTTGTTTCAACATTCACAATGGCAGATAAGGTCAAGCTTAACTCATGTACTATCAGTTTTCAGATAATTTACAATTTTCCCGAGTGTAATATACTACTGCAACTCCTCTATGTGCTTGGTGATACAGATCTTTCAAAAAAAAAAAAAACACCTTTTTATCCTATAAGGAAGAAAAAACAAAAGTATCTTTTATCCTTTAAGGAAGAAAAAACAAAAGTATCTTTTATCCTTGGAATCAAACCCGTGAACAGCTTATCACTGCTCTCGCCCTCTTCATAGCATCGTAATCTCTCTGGATTCTGGAAAAATAATGATGTAAACGTCAAATGCAGAGTGATATCATTACTTGTTCCATTGCTTTAAGGCTCTGGATGATTTCGAATGCTATCAGGCAGAGAAGGAGATGGTGATGCATCACTAATTCTGCTGGGTAATGGTGTATTCCTTCGTGATTGGCGTTTTGTGGGCACAGTTACACTTTCAGTTTCCCACGTTTGGCTGAGTATCTCTTCCTCATCATCATCATAGTCATCCATGCTGTCCTTAAAAACTGGATGAACATAGGCAAACTGAAGATAACCTTTCAAGTTCAGGTTAGGTTCTGTTACTCGTTCTAATGTATCTTTCATCATTGCTTCCTACGTAAAATGTTAGGAAAAACATCATCAAAATTCCACCAAAAAAGGATACTAGAAATGTAGAGTTAAAGGCAGCAGCCGAGCAGACAAATTGTACACCAAGTCCAAATTGATTTTGCCAGAAACTTTTATGGTAAGTTCAAATCAAATCTTTAATTTCAGATTGAAGTGATGATATACTGATGTGCAGTCAATTCATCATAACACTAACATTATTAATATATTTGAACTTTTGTTATGACATACCATTGTACAAGTCATTTAATAGATATGATATGTCAATAATTTTAAGTATATCTAACAATTGAACTGCCAATAATAGAAACAAGGACTCCACCATCAATGCATACAGTTCAAAGGGTTGTTAAGCATTCAAAGGACGAATTGACATACCTGTAAGGGAAATTTAACAAATGCAGGTTCAAAACGGCCTTTGCAGTACCTATGGAACCATATGGTTAGTATTGGGAGCACAATGAGAAATGGAGTCGATGAAGCAGCTTTTTTGGTGGTGAGGAGTCCCATCAGAACTATCTGTGAGATTATCAGTGCAAGCACAATACGGAAATGGACATCAGGCCAGAATGCTGCACCACTCTCATACTCCTGATTATAAACGTTAATGATCTGCATTTGGAAAACAATCGGATGTAGGGCTCTTCATCTTATATAAGCAAAACAAAAAATTAAAAAATTAAAAATAAAAGGGAGGGAGGGGGTTGACATTTAATTGTTATGATGATGAACATATTCTAAGACATCCATACAAAGGAAAAGAGTGTGTACAATTGATGTGTAGAAGAAATAAAAACAAATGGGAAGAGAAGCATTCCCAAGGAAGATATCAGGCACATGTAAGATCGACATTGCATTTTAGGCTGCACTGTTAAAAGCTAAACCAACGCAGAAATGAACAACTAACCTTATGTGACTTTAAAAAGTTTGGTTTTGGACAAAAGCCATGCATTTGTATAAAGAAAATTGATAATTTAGGAACTTCAAAACTCAAACATAAATTATCTTGAGAAATTATAAAAAAAGGAATTCTTGGTAAGAATATTTCAAGTTTAGGAACTTCAACCATTCAAGTGGTTAATCAAGTCATTAAGTGGTTTACTTACAACTGAATCCTCTAATCAAGCTGGAAAACAATCCTTGAGACCCACAAGCTCATAAAGCAAAGAAAGAAAAGGACAGACTTAGTTGAGGGCTTCTTGAACTGTCGAGTTAGACCATGATTAATTGTAGATCAATTGAGTGACTAATTGTTCCTAAACCGAATACTTTTACCAAGAATTCCAGTTTTGTAATTATTCCTATTATCTTTCTACATGAGATTATATCCAGAAACACTTCATAATATTTTTTAAAATACTCATCAATGAATGGAGATCTAACTGTATAAGCCATTATGGTTCTTACTCTGCTGTGTACATTCGTATTGAATGATTAATGGTACCAGAATCAAAAAAATGCATATAAACTTTAATCATCATTGACTTGCACATTTTAAATCTAACATCTCTGTACCTGATGACGGAACACAACATAGGCCAGGCCAAAGAAAACTATTATGAAAGGAAGAACAGCAGGTGTCACTGCAGCATATACTAGACCCAACAAAAAGTACAATTGTATACGAGGCTCTCCAGTGTTAAAACCAATACTCCCAGGATCCATGGCCTCTTCCCTGTCCTTTTCAGTTTTCACCAAGAAGAAATTCTTCAAGTGATAAAAAATCAGTGGTTTCAACATCAAAACCTCTGCAGCTACACTGGCCCATCCATCAACCATTATATAAGTAATGAAGAAACTTGCTTTTAAAGGAATAGCAGTGCCAATTGTTATAGGATATCTGCCAAAAGTATAACAAGAGTGCTTAATTTTATTCGCATGGCTTAAATTTTAGAAAAATTCTTGGATCAATATATGCAAATAAATATCTGGACTTGATTATGAAAAAAAATTTATCCACTAAAAGGAATATGATACAACCCAACCCATGCCTCAGCCCATTGTGTATAAAAGAGACAAACACAGGAGAGTGTGGGCCCCAGCCCAATCTGAGCTAGCTGCTGACTCAGCTATTCTGTTACAACAGAATAGAGACGCACAACAACGCGAGAGGGAGGAGGATTAAAGAACGTGGCTGGGGGTGAGAGAAGATTTATCGAATCAGAAGAATAGAATTGGGAACTTGGGAGAGAATGGAGCCTCTCCAATTGCTCCATGTTATCTTTACTTTTCTGTTATTTCCTTTTATTGTAATCTTCAATTTGGTATGTAATGAGTTGAACAGCTGTGTTGCTCTGTAATTTGTCTTAGAGATTTCCGTTGTTAATTTCTTGAATCAATTGTAGTGTTACTGGTTCTGAACGATATAGACAGAGTTTGCAATATAATTTCCTTATTTCCATCTTGTTTGAGTTGATTGTTGGTTGGTCTGTATCAATTGGTATCAGAGCTCCGATCTAGGAGCTCTGTGGGATGGTTGTTACGAGAAACATGGAGAACCGTATGGAAGTTCTGGAGGAGAGGATGCGTAGGAACGATGCTCAAAATGAGGAGCTGCTTAGACGAACGGAAGCCAGCGAGGGAGGCATTGCTGAAATCATCCGACGGCTGGATGAGATGGCAGAGAGGAGACCAGGTGCGTCACACGAGGAGAATACTCAGAACAGAGGGTTTGGGAGGAGGTTCGGTTCAGTCGCTCCCGTGACTAGGCGCCTTGAAATTCCTTTGTTCAGTGGTGAGGACGCTTATGGGTGGATAAACAAAGTAGAAAGGTATTTCGTCATCAATGGCGTAGCTGAGGAGGATAAGGTGGCGGCTGTAATGGTAACGTTAGAAGATGAAGTGCTTCAATGGTTTTTGTGGTGGGAGATAAACAATCCTAATGCCGATTGGGAATTTTTCCGACGAGAGTTGATGAGTAGGTTTCAGCCGGAAGCTCTGGATAACCCCTATCGAGCGCTCTATACGCTCAAGCAGGTAGGCACAGTGGTGGAGTTCAGGCGTGAGTTTGAGAAGATGATTGGGGCCTTGCGATTTGAAGACGAAGATCTGTTGAAAGGGGCGTGGCTCAACGGCGTTCGAAGTAGCATACGAGAGGAGTTGATGATGAGTCCCACCATTAACCTTACAGACATGATGAAGTTTTCTCTGAAAATAGAGAAGAGGAATGATGCGTGGAAGGAGGAAGGGATAGCCGCTGGAGGACGAACTGGATCGTATGGGTCCAATAGGGGAGTGCAGGGCCAACGAAATTGGGCCAATCCACAAACGAACAAGAGCTGGAGCGGGCCGGGTTCATTAAACCCCACAAGTTCGGGTCGGGTTATGGGCCAGCCCAACTCAACCAATCAAAATTACTCAGCGTCCCAATCCACTAGGGCACCAAACGAAGATCAAAGAACGGCGGCTACGAAGGGGAACCATGGCCAGGTCAATCACAACAGCGACGGTGGACAGGCTGCTGAAAGTCAGGCGAGCAGTAACCGACGACTTTCTCCGGCGGAGGTCAGGGAACGCCAAGCGAAAGGGCTGTGTTTCACATGCAACGAACGCTGGAACCCGAATCACAGATGCCCTTTCAAACACTTACAGATCATGATCGTTGACGACGAAGACAACAACGAAGGACAGGATCCCGTTGGTGATGGAGAAAAACCGACGGAAGAAGATCCCCAAGAACGGAGAGAAGAAACGGCTATGCAACTCTCGATGCAGAGCCTACCAGGGCTCACTTCAAGCCAAACGCTCAAAGCATGGGGGGAGATTCTAGAGTCCAAGGTTATTGTGATGATAGATTGTGGAGCATCGAGCAATTTCATAAGGAAAGGGGTGGCTGAACAGTTAGGGCTACGGGTGACAGAGACACCAACTTACAACGTGGAGGTAGGGGATGGCCATAAGGTGTGCTGCCAAGGAGTGTGTAAGGAAGTAAGTATCAAGCTTCAAGGTACGCTGGTCACTCAGGATCTCTATATATTCGATTTGGGAAGTGCTGATGTGGTCCTCGGGTTAGATTGGCTAACTCAATTAGGGGAGATAAAGGCTAACTTCAAGGAGTTAACCTTGAAATTCGTGCGAGGAGAACAGGAAGTTGTCATCAAAGGAGATCCATCCTTGTCTCATTCTGTTGTTTCTCTGAAGTCGATTGTGAAGGCCCTCCAAGATCAAGGTCAGGGATTTTTCCTGAGATCAGAAAAGGAAATTGAGGGGGATAGTGAAGTTCAGTGGGAGGAGTTGGAAGAGTTGCTAACTGAATATGAGGACATTTTCCAGAAAGCCAGAGGACTTCCACCAAGACGAGAGCAGGACCATGCGATCAACTTGAAGTCAGAAAGTGAGGTACCAAATATTCGCCCCTATAGGTATCCCCATTACCAGAAGTCTGAGATTGAAAATTTGGTGGCTGAGTTACTTGGGGATGGGCTGATTAGACACAGTACCAGTCCTTATTCCAGTCCAATGATCTTGGTAAAGAAGAAGGATGGTAGCTGGAGGGTCTGTGTTGACTACAGGGCATTGAACAAGTTAATTGTTCCTGATAAATTCCCTATACCGGTTGTGGATGAGCTGCTGGATGAGCTAGGGGGTTCCACAATATTTTCTAAGCTCGATTTGAAATCTGGTTTTCACCAGATAAGGATGCGCGAAGAGGACATACCGAAGACAGCATTCAGAACACACCAGGGGCATTACGAATATCTGGTGATGCCCTTTGGCCTGACAAACGCACCTTCGTCGTTTCAGTCCCTCATGAATGAAGTCCTGAGGCCATTTTTGAGACGGTTCGCGTTGGTGTTCTTTGATGATATTATGGTGTACAGTAAGGGAAGGGAGGAACATTTGGAACACCTGCGTTTGGTCTTTGAGTCTCTACGGTCTAATTCCTTGGTGTGCAACAGGAAGAAGTGTAGCTTTGGCAAAGGTCAGATGGAGTATTTGGGTCATGTCATCACAGCTGAGGGGGTGAGGGCTGACCCAAGTAAGGTTCAAGCTATGAAGGGATGGCCAGTACCCAAGGATATAAAAGGGTTGAGAGGATTCTTGGGTCTAACGGGGTATTACCGGAGGTTTGTACAAGATTATGGGAAGGTTGCTAAACCTTTGACCGAGTTGCTTAAAAAAAATGCCTTCAAGTGGACAGATGAAGCAGAAAAGGCCTTTGAGCTCTTGAAGGAGAAAATGAGCACTGTGCCTGTTTTGGCTTTACCAGATTTTGCTAAGCCATTTACTGTAGTAACTGATGCCTCTGGAAGGGGGATTGGGGCTGTCTTGATGCAAGATAATAGGCCATTGCATTTTTGAGCCAAGGGTTTTCCCCTAGAGCACAAGGGAAGTCCATCTACGAAAAAGAACTCATGGCCATAGTCTTCGCAGTGCAAAAATGGAGACATTACCTAATGGGGAGACACTTCGTCATTAAGTCAAATCAGAAGAGTCTGAAGTTCTTAACTGACCAGAAGATTCTAAATGAAGAGCAACAAAAGTGGGCCATCAAGCTACTTGGATACGATTTCGAAATACAGTACTACCCAGGGAAGGAGAATCAGGTTGCTGATGCTCTTTCTAGGCAGATGCAACTGTCTAGTATTACTCGCCTACACTTGCCTACGTTGGATGAGTTCGAGTTGGAGCTGCAGGGGGATGACAGGATGAGGAATATTATGCAGGATCTGCTAGTTGGCAAGGATGTTCACAAGGGGTTTAAGCTACGGGAGGGTAAGTTGTATTACAATGAAAGGTTAGTACTGTCCAAAAACTCCAAGTTCATTTCTGTTTTACTTCATGAGTTCCACGATTCTAGCTTTGGTGGACATTCTGGGTACTTTCGAACATACAAAAGATTAGCTGGTTTGGTTTATTGGGAGGGGATGAAAAAGAGTATCAAGGAATATGTAGCTTCTTGCGTGACTTGTCAACAGAGTAAAGCCCAGAACCTCACCCCAGCTGGTCTTCTGCAACCTTTGCCTATCCCAGATGAAGTGTGGGCTGATATTTCCATGGATTTTATTGGGGGCCTGCCGAAAGCAATGGGGTTTGACACAATTTTGGTGGTGGTTGACCGCCTCACTAAATACGCGCATTTTTTACCCCTAAAACATCCATACACAGCAAGGGAAGTTGCTGAGTTGTTCATAAAGGAAGTGGTAAGGCTCCATGGGTTCCCCACAACGATTGTTTCTGATAGGGACCGAGTCTTTATGAGTTCCTTTTGGACGGATTTGTTTAAAAGTGAAGGTACTAAACTGCATTATAGTACAGCTTATCACCCGCAAACTAATGGTCAAACGGAGGTCGTCAATAGGAGTTTGGAGATATATCTGAGGTGTTTCTGTGGACCCAAGCCCAAACAGTGGCCCAAGTAGATTCCGTGGGCTGAGTTTTGGTACAACACCTCTTACAAGGATACTACCGGAATGACCCCATTTAAGGCCCTCTATGGCAGGGACCCTCCTCACTTGATCCGAGGAACGGAGTCTCTAACTAATGTTGATGCTCTCTCTCAATCCTTGGCTGCCAGAGACAATATCTTGCTGGACTTGAAAAATAATTTAATTCAAGCACAGGATCGCATGAAGACCCATGCCAATCAGCATAGAAGAGATGTTCAATATGCTCCTGGTGATTTAGTTTACCTAAGGTTGCAGCCTTATAGGCTAAAGACTATAGCCAGACGCGTTAATGAGAAGCTTAGTCCTAGGTACTATGGTCCATATGCTGTTTTGGAAAGAATTGGAGAAACTGCCTACAAACTTCAGTTACCCAGGGGTTGTCAGGTTCACCCAGTTTTCCACGTCTCACTGCTCAAGAAAGCTGCAACTCCGGTGGCCAATGCACAACCATTACCATCGGTGTTGTCAGAAGATTGGGAACTGCTGGTCGAACCTGAGAGGTTGGTTAAATGGAGGCTGGCCACTAATGGTGACATGCAGGTCCTTCTCAAATGGTATCACTTACCAGACTTTGAGAATACATGGGAGTCTTTTGATGTCATCAACAAGCAATTTCCTCACTTCCACCTTGAGGACAAGGTGCTTGAATTGGGGGGGAGTATTGATACAACCCAACCCATGCCTCAGCCCATTGTGTATAAAAGAGACAAACACAGGAGAGTGTGGGCCCCAGCCCAATCTGAGCTAGCTGCTGAATCAGCTATTCTGTTACAACAGAATAGAGACGCACAACAACGCGAGAGGGAGGAGGATTAAAGAACGTGGCTGGGGGTGAGAGAAGATTTATCGAATCAGAAGAATAGAATTGGGAACTTGGGAGAGAATGGAGCCTCTCCAATTGCTCCATGTTATCTTTACTTTTCTGTTATTTCCTTTTATTGTAATCTTCAATTTGGTATGTAATGAGTTGAACAGCTGTGCTGCTCTGTAATTTGTCTTAGAGATTTCCGTTGTTAATTTCTTGAATCAATTGTAGTGTTACTGGTTCTGAACGATATAGACATTGCAATATAATTTCCTTATTTCCATCTTGTTTGAGTTGATTGTTGGTTGGTCTGTATCAGAATATTTCACAGTTAACAACATAACACCATGATTATTAAATAGCAAGAGTTTATCCAGAAGTAAGAAACATCTGCCATTTTCACATAATAAGGAGTAATCTAATATGTTGACCACAGACACATGGTTACCAAACTTATATACACAGGCATACTTTATGGTGCATCAGCATACGAAATGCACCCCACAACACAGAAAATATAATTATGCCAATTGAAATTGTAAATGAGTTCCAAAGAAGAATAAAACTGAATTTTTTATATTGAATGACTTACTGGTTTGCTGGTTGGTGAATGAAAGAGTCCAGCTGTTGAAATGCTGTTCCAGTAAGTATATTCCCAAGAAATATATTCACAAAATTGAAAAGATAATATCTAGAAGCTGATCTTCTCTCCAGAGATGATAGAGATACAAAGCCTTCAAATTTAGACATGATCATCAATATTGTTGGCAAAAAGATAAGGAATAGCTTCAACACAATACCAGGCAGAAAACCTTGAATGAATGACTTAATGAAAGGGCTGCACAATTAAGTAAGTTTGAATAAGTAATCTCCAATGATGCAAGTGAAATTATATCTTCAGAGGCCCGATTATGAGATTAGACTTACATACTAACAAGTGGCTTTAGCCCTGGTGCTGCTTTTTGGATTCCATCAAGACTTGCAAGAGTTTGAACAAATGCAATGGGGATCATAAAAAAGAAAGTGAGAAAAAAGAATGCAACAGCTACGATTAACTTCCTGACAGCGAGGGAAACATATGGAAGTGGCAAGTTTCGCCAATATACGTCTCGTGGCTCTGGAGCCCACTCAGTCAACCAAAGTGTAGGATTTCTGGTTTGTTGAGTTTGTGCGCAAATGGCAGCACCCCATCGTGTTTTAAACGAAACAAATGCAGCAGGCCTGATAGACTTGGGATCATTCGTGACATTTTCCCTCTCTACATCTATCTACAAAAGGTGATCAATTTAAATCACTCCGATCATGAAGAGAATTCTTAACAAAAGAAAATGAAGCAATGAAACCACAACATGGCTATTTAAAAAATGACCTATAAAATAATTTCTGCAGATATTGGCCTTAGTGAAATTTAGTGTTAAACGAGTTCATTCAGCATTTCTTGAAGTTCAAAGTAAATTTGGACAAATTCTAGAGAACATTCAGAAAAATCTCCATTTCTATTAAAATGATAAATAAAGAAAAACTGCCACATGAGAAAAAAACTTGAAAGCAGAATAATACTGATGCACATGTGATAAAGTAAAGATACTAAAATGTTTGAGATATCATAGCCTAACATGAATTTTGCAAAATTAAAATCAGATTCCTACATAAGAATAATTTTCAAAAGTATACGAGTGTATCATTAGCATGGAGAATTTCTATTTTAAAAAATTTATTAGCATTTTTAATGTGATAAAAATTATAACAGAAGAAAAAATAGAAGATACTTACTTCTTTTAGTAACTTTTCAATTTCGGAAGTGTGATAATCAATAGCATCAACTTTCTTTCCCCAAAGACCGAGGAATCCTGTCTGGAAAAACATATGAGGGAATGCTCAAGGTAAACCTGGATGGTTATGAAAAACTTTTGAGGGCATATTAATATATATTTAAATACCTTCATTTTGGGTCTTTTTGAAGTTCTTTCAAGTTTATTTTGATAATAAACAAGCCAATTCTTCAACTTCTTCTTCTTGTTAACCAACTTTGCAAGTTTGTTGGCATCATAAACAACCTGAATAAAAGTCATGATAAATAGGCTGACAAATACCATTCTGTCATAGTAATAATACTATCATGTTAAACAATCAACTGATTTGGCTATGCAATAATAATTCTGGTCCATCTTAAAAACAATACTATATTGTGTGTCAAAAGAGAGGAAATAGAAAGGGAAAATTTAATTTTCATTTATTATCTAGTTAATAATGTATAAATGAATTCAACGTGTGCACTTAAATTCAAATCACATAGTGAGATGAGGTAACAAGACATCTTGTGGTCGTAAGATGTCCAAACCTTGTGGTACAAGATAAAACTTGAAAAATAGAAACCACCCAACGCATAATATCAAAGTCAATGAGATAATCAATTTATGTTTCAAACTAGCACTGCAAGTGTACACAGGAGGAACCAACCTGGTGAGTAAGATAGTGATCTGGATGATTGACCAAAAAGAAGTGCTCCACAAGCTCACTTACAGATTCATCAGGGTCTGGTGGAATGTTTCTAACAAGCACCTGAGAATAGTACCTTTTCTATAAGCAAAATATGCATGATGGCTAGTCATAAGTGTATGAGAATTCAGTCTATAGACCCGAAATTGTCAAGTATAAAGATGCATAAGGATTGGAGACCTCTGTTGTAATAAAACAAAATGCAGCAAACTATTCAATCTACAATTGAGATTTACCAAGACAAATGACAAAGTAGAAAGTATTATTCCTTACAGAAAGTATTACAGAAAATAATTCCTTACAAAAATGAAGGATGAAAAATCAAATTTACCGTAAATTGATCAGGACGGCGTCTTTCTTCTGCAAGAAATTGCAGTCTCATTGATTCAACTTTCTCATACTCCTTTAGCAACACATAGCAAGTCCAAAAGGTAAATGCATAAGCCATTACTATGTGCCCCCAAAACCTGAGGAAGTGCACAATATTTTAGTAAAACACAGGATTTAGTAACAATTAAGAAGAGAATATCCTCTATTATAATTTAGATGATCAGATAGTACATAGTAATATGCCCCACAGCAGTAACTCTATAACTTTAATATGTGAGTTGATGCATAGAAAACAGAATAAGTAACAACTCAAATAGAGTGTGGAGAACTAAGTGATGTTGTTTAAGACCTAAAGATAAAGATTCTGGTGGGAAGAAAAGATAATTTAGATATCATGGAAGCCACAGGATATACAAAGCAATTGAGGTATGCACTGTAGCTTAAGGTTGAACCTAGTTAAACACTAAACCCAAAGCAAGATAGTTAAACCATACTAGGCCAAGTATACATTTGACATGGAGGCAGTTTGAATTTGAAAAGACTTTACTGAAAACCATAAAGATGGGATAGCAGAATTGCAAACTGAATGCTGGATTTGAAACCTTTCGGATCGACTATGGACATTTGAAACTGAGAGTTTATCAATGTCACTGGAAGTTATGTTAGTTATCTTGGCTCCTTCTAAACCAGTACTTGTCCAATTGACAGGAACCAACACAGTCCAAGCCAGGAACGCTATAGGAACAAAGATTTTAAGCCTGCAAATTAAAAACAGAAAACATCAGAACTACATTTATGATTTACTGAAGTGGTATTCACTCAATGCTGCATACCCTATCAAGTAAATCCGCAAGTAAATAGCAGAGTCCAATCCAGCATGGTCAATAAGCTCAGGTTCAGGCATTCTAAGTGCTTCTGGCATCCAATTCAAAAACCCAAGATATGATCTCCAGTCTAAATTGATGAACTTGCGCACAAATGCTCCTCCATGTACAGGATCTGTTCTTAAACCCTTCAGATACCATTTTGGGAAGTATACCCGATCATTGAAAGGTTGAAGCCTCAAAATAGCAAATGCCACAAAGAAAATAAATGCACTGAAAATGTTAATGGCAGCTGCAACCCCAACATCTTGCAGCGTAGCCATTTGTTTTCTGTCGAAAGAATTCACGCCTTCCTGTGAAGTAATCAAAAGAAACGAACATTGACTAAAGAGGGTTAGTTTCATGCAAAACACATTTGAACCAAACTCTTGGTGAAAATACTAGTTCCACTAGGTCATGCCTTTCCAATAAGATTTTTATATTATATTTCAATTCCATTAAATGAGAGAAAAACAAACATAAGCAGTTATCAATTTCTACATAATCTACACTTGAAATAAGAGTTTTTTTTTTTTTTTTCCTTTCATAATATTTTAAAAAATGATTAATTCCTCATTTCTCATCTTTTTGCAACCTAGAGTTGAAGAAACTGCAGCAGATCATGATCCCACAGAGCATGATCAGGTAAAGACCCAAAAGGAACCAAATTTATCAAGTCGAGTATCTCTTCAAATCATTCTCACTCAATCTTGACAAACACAAAAAGTTTCAATCTTACTTTAGCTTTACATAGAAATAATAATGAAGTTCAGATCCATGATCAGAAAACAGCTTAAGATTGAGTTACTCACAGACACAATTCCCAAGTTCAAGAGAAGCAGAGGTGAAGATGCAAAGTTGAATATGAAAGGGTGTTTTGAGTTTTGATATCTTCAAAACCAAACAAAGGAACAAGATTCCGCAACCTTTTTTTTTGCAGTACAACACAAGCCACTGTGTCAGTTCCTTTTGCTCATTGAGTTCAGAAACAGGAAACCACGAAAATAATAACAACCTTCAGATTTTACAGTAGTCAGTGTCACAGAAAGAACAACATGAAACAGAAGACAGTGAGTCCTAACGTGAATAGTGATGTTTGAGCATCCAGAGCTTTCTTTAAAAATCTCGAGGTTAATCGTAGCTTTATAATGGCATGTCGGGTTCTGTTAAAAAAAGTTCATGAGAACTAAGATTTAATAGACAAATTGGAAATATATCATAAATGGTTTTTATGAATTTGTGCACGTGTAATGTAACCTTTGATGATAGAGAATTCTGTAAAAATAAATGAATTAAATATATGAGATTGAGATGTTGTTATTAAAAAATTGTGATTCAAAATAACTAGTTAATAAAAAATAAAATAAAATAAAATAAAATCTCGTGTAAGAAGGATGAGGTGGCGAAAAGTAAAGCGTGTGACTCAAACTCAACTGCGTTTCCGTGTGGATAATGCGTTGTTTTTGCGTCGGGATGGGGCACGTGGAGAACCCCACGCCTTATCACCGCACCACTCGACCGACCCGCTTGGTATTTTGCTTTTGTTTTTCTAATGTAAGTAAACGTGAATGTCCAAAACTTGACAAAGTAAAGCCGCTAATAGTCGGAGGTTTGAGGAGTTTATACGAGGTTATAGATTTGGAACACTCATCAAAACGTCATTTTTTCAAAAAAAAAAAATTCTTCAAATATTATGTGAATAATAACTTTTTACTAGACTGTCATATAAACATAATTCGCTACGACACGTGACACACTTTTGCAGAAAAAAGCTAACGTGTCATAATTCGCTATCACTGGTAATGAATTTGTTTGCAATATGATCACGTATCACAAAATCATTGGCCACGAAATTCGCTACCCGTGGTAGCGAATTATGACACGTGGCAGTCTAATAAAAAATACTGTTCGCGTGACATTTGGATAAATTTTTTTGATAAAACATGATATTTTGGTCACAAATCCTATAGATTTCCATTGTATTGATAAAAAAAATTAACAAAGTAGGACGCGTGCCCAAATTTTGTTTCTATTCAATGAATTAAAAAAATTTACATGTGAGTTATTAGTTTAGTAGCGATCTAATTAGATCTTAAAATTTAATACATTCAAATAATAGTGGGGTTCGATTTTTAAGAATCACAAAAGGTGAAAAGACTCAAATTCGTTTAGTTACAATTTCGAAATACTCGTTGATGTATAAAATATAAAATAAAATTATATTTCTCTATCTGTACGAATACAATGACGATGACTAAATTTATGTAATTGGTGATGAAACATGGGTTGGGTCACCCTGCCCCACTTTCAACATGTGTTCTTACTAGATGCAGACTAGGCCCTAACCCAATAATCTCATGGGCTTCAAGAGAACACAGAGACTAAGACTGTATAAGGACTTGATACTGTTGCTACTAAAGAACTTTGATGGATTAAAAGGTTCCCCACTTGTTCAATGTGACAATGTTGGACTGTGTTGGACCGAGATAGGGTTTTGATGCATATTAAAATATGTTTATTTAGTGAAGATATTAAGAATTATAGAATTTAGCTTGATGATCCTTGATTAAAATTTCAAAATTGTCAATATGACCAACTGAAAGCAATTTAAATCATACAAACTTGCTTACCCAAAAAAAAAAATCTTACAAACTTGATCAAGAGTATCAGTAGAAAGCAAAAGAATTTTGATAAAGGCTTCTGATTTTTGTAGTCAAAGAGAGAGAGATTGATTTGGAAAGTTAGCTTTGTTCACTATTGCAATTTGCAACCAATTGAAACTAGGGGTGTGTAAAATAGTCAAAAAAATTGAACTGAACCATGAACCGAACCGAACCGAACCGCCTTTAAAATAACCAGTTTTTAAAAACCAGTTCATGAACTGAACCGATTTTTAAAGAACCAGTTCATGAACCGAACCAAGAATCAAACCATTTTGAACCGAACTGAACTGTTTTCAAACCGAGCCAAATTGATTTTTATAACTTTATTTCTTAAATTTTTAAATTTTTTTTCTTTTCAAAATAGGGTTGACTCGAACGGTTCCGAACCGAACCGAACCATTTCTGAACCACTTCCGATACTGAGATGTATTCATAGATCTCACCCCGTGTTGTGGGGACTCCCTTTCAGGTAAAGATGCTGCAGGTGCCTTTGGTAGCAAGTGGCCATACTTGGACTAGTTACTACATGAGGATTTTGCATCATTTTGGGTTATGCATGCCATTTTGTAGTTCCTATGTATAGGATTTATATTTGAAAGCCATTTGTTATATGTATGTCATGCTTTATTTTGATGAACTTAGCCTCTGCTCACCTCCTTTGGTGTCTCTTTTGTTGATGGGAGCCAAGGAATTAATCATAGTGTTTTGTAGCTAAGTCTCATGGTTTTGTATTAAAGACATTTAGAGATTGTGTAATATTGTGATTATTGTATACATATATGATGGAATTAAAGACATTTAGAGATTGTGTAATATTGTGATTATTGTATACATATATGATGGAAGGGCATGGATGCTTATTATTATTATTATTTACCTTTTACATTCTGCATCGTAAACATTATTCTAGCATGCATAAGAGTGCTTACTAGGTATTTTTCCCATTAATACTTCAAATTTTTTGTGGAGAATCTCAAGAGAAAATGATAAAACACAAAGCAAACCAATCTATCTATCTATCTATATCTATATTAAAGAAAAACTATTCTTTGGCAATTTTGCTGATATGTCACTTTGTCATGAATCCTCCACTTTGACAATTTGTATACAATAAGAAAAAAAAAATAGGTGCCCTGGCTTGGATGCTAATAACACAGCATCTGTCAACTACCGAGCTTTACCTTACTCCACCTATTTGCAGGCCTTTGTGAACTTTGAGCCAACTGCCGAGGCTCCAAGAATCTATCACTTCTAGTTGCATAACCCATAGCATCAGTCCTTCCACCTCTCCTGTCTTTATGCCTCTTCATATGACGATTTGGTCTTGGTCCACTTGACTTCATTTCCTTGTCAACTTCATAGACCAATGGTTGGATACCCTGAAGATCAGGCTCTGGAACATACCCAAAAGGCCGCTTGGATGGATCCATTCTTCTAAATGTTATTGATATCCTAATAAAAGTTTTAACAAAAAAAAAATATGGATCAATAATAAGTCATTGGTGTCAAAGCCACGGATAGAAGAATATCATAATAGTAAATAAATACCTTCTCATAGGAACTGCAGGTACACAGTGTTTGGCTACATCAGCTCCATTTCCATTTAAGACAAGTACAGATCTACACAAAAAGGACAAACTATAAGATTCTGAATCCTCCAATGATAGAGGCAGATTGATGAAGATTTTAATCTAACTCAGTCTAAAGTCATGAGCAAAAGTTGAAAAACTAAACAGAGTCTAGTGGATAAATCCAGATAAAATACTTACCCGAGAGGTAGGGGAATAGTAAAGGAACCATCAAATTCACCACGGCCCACAATCTTCATGTTTGATCCAAAAACTATATTGCACTCACTAAGAAATGAGATAGTGCAAAATGGTCGAAGAAAATCATGACTATCTATATGTGGAGGTATACAGTCCCCTTCTTCATAGATATTCACAATGCAACTGTCTGGCACACAAGTAGGAGGGAGCACATGCCACTTAATGAGGCGTCGGATGATGACCTTAAATAGATCGGGTATGGGGTCCACCATTACACGCGGAAGAATACCGGGTGGGTTACCATCTCTATCCTGTAAGCAGAAAATTACATTTTAAGAGTTTCATCCCTTAACAAACTCATCAGCAATTATATTGCACCACCAAGCATTAAAGTTAACTTGTTTCCAAATAAAGAAATGAAAAGTCAGCATGAAAGATGCACTAACCACTGCATAATTGTAACAACAACCGAATTGGATAGTCTCACGCCCCTTGCCTCTCATCCATTTTTGAGGAGCCGTGAATGTCCGATCTGAAAAAGTTAAGAATTAACATCATATAGCCCCTCAGAAGTAGCAGCAAACAACACATTTACCAAACTATCAACACGATATAGTCAATTGGGAAAATACAGAATGTTTTTAATGTTTTCATTATCTTATGATGCATAGTTAGCATATCTGCATATGCATAGGCCCAACGGATGTCAAGTCTGAGCCCCACCAAGTTTATTCCTAAAGGAGAATAATTCTTTATTAGTTCCAAAGTCATGGCCTCACTAAGTTTTGGTCAGCCCTCAAAATTCTGGAAAGACATGAAAGTTACAGCTACATAAATTTGTTACTTCCCATGGCTAGTGTAGTCAAAGGCATCAAAAGACACTGAGGCGAGGCACTAGAAGGGGTCAGAGTGCCTCTGGCTGGTTGAGGCACTGCCTCTTGATTGAGGCACATGCATGCCTTTTTGATTGAGGCGAGGCACACTTTTAGCACCTCATAACTGTAAGAAACCCAAAAAAGCATAGCCACCTAACTTACAATTATGATGCAGAAGGGATAAAATCATAATTATCAATCTCTGATTGTGTAGCAGCCAACCCCAAAACCTCTAGCAGTATAGCCTCTATAGTGAAGTCCACATTACTTAAAATAGTGAAACATTATAATATTTTCTTATTTTTCCTAATGTTAACAACCTTTCTTCAATAAGAGTTTTTTTTTTTGGCACATCCTTCCTCATAGAGTTAAAAACCTCTACAGCCTTAAGGGCGCTTAAGGAACACTATAAATAATCTATTGATTTTATATTAAATTTGCAGCACAAGAAGCCAGACTGAGTGATTACAATTTTGGACATACATCACATCAGGTGTAGTTTATTTTCTTCTTTCTCGAATGGAAATTCAGAGAACAGCAATAGCAAAACAAGGAATGGTTTCAATCAAAGGTCAATTCAATTCATGCATCATTAGACAATTACAAAATACATAATAAAAAAATACATAAAAAAATAACCTAGAAGTGAAGGGCTCAAATCACAAACCTCTCAATTCTCCCTTTCTCCCCATCTCCTGTAGTGAAGCAACGTAACTGACGATCCTCTTCTGTTCAGCAGCACTGAAAATACCCATGTGGAGTTCCAGTCCTTCGAGGATGTTAACGAGCTTCTCATGAACCCTCTCAAAACATATGAAATCCTTCTTACGCCTCACGTTCATAAACCTAATGTACTCCCTCTGCTCCCTAGGCAATGTAGGCTTCTCAGCAACAACTTGGATTACTTCTGAAGAATTTGAATTTGAATTTGAAGCATCCACCACAACATTAAATTTTTTATTCTTTTGTTCATGAACTACTTCATCGAAATCATCATCTTCCTGCGCCATATCAGCCCAAGACATTCGAGGAGTCTCGAAATTCGAATTCGCCTCTGCCCCATCATTCCAACTACCAAGAGAATGCGCGTCATAGTTATCTTCAACGCCGTCACTCATCTCCTGTGGTTGCACGTTCGAAACATGACCTAGGCTTTGAGACTCTGCACATGCAAATGCAACGAAACAGTGTGAAATTAATTTCGATGGGTGAAATCCAAGAAAATCAAGAACCAGTTAAAAAAATCAAAAATTTCAAAAGAATTACAAGTTTTTGGGGGTTGATGTTACCTGGGTGAGGGTCGATGGAGCGGATCCGATCGGAGAGCGATTGGGCGCAGTTGGTGCAGAGATCTCGGGAAAGGTAGGGAAGCCATGTACCCAAAAACTCAGAAGCAATACGGTGTTCAGAAGGGTTGTAATTCAGGAGGAAGGGATCTTTGTTGGTAGCGTGAGTTTGGTCCACCATGGCGTTGCGTTAAGGCGACGCGACTCGATTTGCGCTACACGGATTAGAACTTAGAAGAGGCACTCGGTTCTTATATAATTAATTATAATTAACTAAAAGTAAAAATTATAAAATAACAACAAATCTAAATCTAAATAGAAAATCAAATCTAAATAGAAAATCAAATCTTCTATACAAAATAACAACAATTCATCTAAATGCAAACAAATAATAAGGAACATGTCTAGCAATGTTATCAAAATCGCGATTTGAATCGTTGAATCGTATGATCCTACGATCTTTTGACCAAAAACGAGTTGAATCGCAAGCAAGATCGGTGTGGAGCAGGACTGTGTGGGATCGTAGAGGAAGATCGTAATCGCACGATCCCACCGTTTCAGAGATTCTGAAGAAAAAAAACACTGAAATTTACCTTGTTGACGAGCGTTGTAGGGACCAACACACAAATCCCAGATTTCACCGACCTAAAGAAACAATTTACAATATCAAAAAAAAAAAAAACAATTTACAGTTTCATTTAATATTCACCATTTCTGATTTCGCAAATGAAGAAGAAGAATAAGAAGCAAGCTATAATAAATGACGTTACTGTTCCGATGCGAATGATACACTCAACGGTGAGGGAGGATCATGGAACGATATGCAGGTCTTCTTCCATCTTTTTTGTTGCGGCGTAGCAGTAACGCATTAGAGACACAACATTTACAAAACTGAGTCTCTTTTGTTGGGCTTCGGCCCAGATCGAAATATTGATGTTGTAATATTCTGTGATTATAGTTTTCAAATATATGTATATATATATATATATATATATATATATATATATATATATATATATATATATATATATATATTCTGTGATTATTATCTTAATCTATCATTAAGTTTTTTATTTTTATTTTATTTTTGATACATATCATTGTAAGATTAAATGTAATAATTTCTACTGATATCAATGAATTATAACACATATGTTTACGTGCACATGATATAATCTTTTTCCCAAAAACTTATATATAACGTTCAATAAATATATCTTAATCTTAATATTATTAAAAAAAATTATAATGAAAGTATGACTTTTATGTTTATTATTATTATTATAACAGTTCAATTTTGATAAATATTGTAATATATTTTTAAATATATATATTTATTTAAATATATTTTATATCTTAAATAGTGTCGATCTTACGATCCGTGTCGATCTTACGATTTACGATTTTTTTACCCCCTTTCGATCTTAGATAAGATCTCGATTTTAACAACCTTGATGTCTAGTATAGTTTTTTTTGTGTTTTACCTTTTTTTTTTATTTTTTATCCTGTATATTTTTTTTCTGCTTTATTGTAATCAGTTATGGTATTTATTCTCACTTCTATCTTATATTATAAAGTCTTATATTATAAAGGAATTCCATTCTGTGGAAACCTTGCTGACGTGTCGCACTGTGGTTCAATTTCACCAATGTGTCCACACTACAACATTTAAAAAAGTTTCCTTTAATGGTAAATCGGTGAATATAATAAATACAAAAAAGAATTATATTTTCAATTGACAGGATTTGTTACTTTAAATCAATGGTCAAGATTGCTTATTCATTGATTTATAACTACTAAATCACTCTTTGTCGTCATCTTTGTTTTTTAAATAATTGATGTTGATCATGTAATCTAATCGTTTTTTTAACCTTTATTCAGTTTAATTCAAATCTTTACGTTTTTTGAAAAAAAAAACAGGATATTCATTGTTATTAAAACAAATGACTATTTTATTCCATGAAATGACTCTTAAAAAACGGGATATAAACAATTTCAATGTGCCAAACACGTTTTATATCAATGGAGGTCTTAATTATAATTTCAAATTATATATTTGCTATTACAAATAAAAAACTTCCTGTCTGACAACCAAGCTTATTTCAATCTAAAAATATTTGTATATGTTTAGATTATTGGGACGCAGGGGATCCTACTTTTGTTTGCGAGCATTGTGGAGCACAAATGTGGTATGCAGAAAGAACTAATAGGGATCGTAACCCAAGTATGCCGCAATTTGGATTGTGCTGTGTCAATGGAAAAGTTCAACTTCCTTTGTTAAAAATTGCTCCGGATACATTGCTTCAATTGCATGCTAATTTCAATATGACGAGCCGCCATTTTTTGCGAAATATTAGAGCGTACAATATGATTTTTTCCTTCACCTTCTTTGGAGAAAAAGTGGATGGATCAGTAAATCAAGGTTCTGGCTTTTACTGTTTTAGAGTTGGGGGGAGAGTTCATCATTTAATTGGCAGTCTTCTTCCTGCTGATAGTCAGTCTCCAAAATTTGCTCAACTTTATATTTACGACACTGAGCATGAAGTGGACAACAGACTTGGTTGTCTAAGGTATATTTTTTTTTGACCCAATTCTCATGTTTCATATGTGGAGTATCTTTTTATGTTGACTAATATGAATGACAATTTTTTTATTTATTAAATTTGCAGTTCCACCAGTACTGAAGATATGCTTGATCCTGAAATTATCCGATTATTGAAGGAGATGTTCGATAAGCACAACAGTATAGCTCAGTCTTTCAGGTACGCTAGAGACTGTTATAAGGAAGATGACTTTAATGGTGTAAAGTTGAGGCTTATTCGAAGGCGTGGTAGTGATGGAAGAGTTTATAAACTTCTGACAGCATCCGAAGTGGCAGCTTTGATTGTTGGAGATATAGACAGTGCTATGGGCGATAGGGATATCATTATTGAAACACAAGATAGAGTATTGCAGCGCATCGATGTGAAGCATCCATTATATCTTGGCTTGCAGTATCCATTGTTATTTCCATACGGTGAAGACGGTTATCGTGATGATGTCCAGCGTACTGTATCCAGTGGTAGGAAAAATGCAAGAGCCATGATCAGCATGAAGGAATTTTTTTCGTTTAGACTTCAGATGCGATCTGGAGAATCAGAAATTCTACATCGATCAAGGAAACTTTTCCAACAATTTCTGGTTGATGCATACACTATGATTGAGTTTGAACGGCTTAATTTCATTCGATATAACCAGAGTCATCTAAGAGCTGAGTTGTACAAAAATATAAAACATTCATTAGATAGCGGTGAAGATGCAGCACTGAGCACTGGAAAACGTATCATTATACCTTCTTCATTCACAGGCGGACCTAGATATATGGCTGAAAATTGTAAAGATGCTTTCGTAATTTGCCGTTGGGCTGGATATCCTCATCTTTTTATAACAATTACCTGCAATCCTAAGTGGCCAGAAATCACACGATTTGTTAGGGCCAGACAGCTGAACCCTGAAGATCGGCCTGATATTCTATGCAGAGTCTTCAAGTTCAAATTGGACCAGTTGCTACATGATTTAAAAAAGGAAAATATTCTTGGCAGAGTCATTGCATGTAAGTATATTATAAACTTGATACTCTTTTTGTTAACTGGATTTTATACAAAAAATTTTACGTCATGCATTGAATCTTTATATAACGTTGTTGTATTCTTATTATTACTTATGTTATATTCTTTGAATGTAACAGATGTTTGTACAATCGAATTCCAAAAGCGCGGACTACCTCATGCTCATATTCTTCTATTCTTGAACCCTTCAAGCAAAGCTGAAAGTGCTCTTGATATTGATAAATTGATTTCAGCGGAGATACCTGACAAGGAAACGAATCCTACGCTGTTTATGGCTGTCACGAGTTACATGATACATGGTCCATGTGGTCCTGAAAATTACAAATCTCCTTGCATGAAGGACGGACGGTGTTCAAAAATTTTTCCAAAAAACTTCTGCTCCCGTACTTTGATTGACGATGATGGATTTCCTCATTATAAGAGAAGAAATGATGGGAGAGTTGTGAACAAAAATGGTGTTGAACTTGATAATCGTTATGTTGTGCCCTATAATGCACACCTTCTTTTAAAGTACCAGGCTCATATCAACGTTGAATATACTTGCCAGAGAAGTGCCATTAAATATCTTTTTAAATACATCCACAAAGGGAATGACAGAGTGGCAACTGCCATAAATCATTCGGACGATGAAATAAAAATGTTTTATGACTGCAGGTACTAAAAATAATCTCCATTGTGTTTTTCTTTCCTACAAAATTGGCACAATTTTTTTGAGAAATTATTAACTTAAATGTTCACCGATTTATTTATTTATGATAGGTATATCTCCGCATGTGAAGCAGCTTGGAGAATATTTGGATTTGACATTCATTCAAGATATCCCCCTGTTCAGATATTGTCATTTCACTTGCCTAATGAAAAGAACATTATTTTCAGTGATAATGATTCGTTGTATGATGTAAAGACAAGGGCGGAGTCTAGACTGTCAATTTTTGAGTTTTGGATGGATGCAAATAAAAAATATCCAGAAGGTAGGCATCTAACTTATGGAGAGTACCCGACTGAATTTGTTTTCAAAGAAAAAACACATGAATGGAATCCGAGAAAAAAAGGATTTTCCATTGGAAGGATAAATCGTTTTTCTGCCAATAATGGAGAAGATTCATATCTTCGCACCTTGCTTAATTTTCAAAGAGGTTGCACCAGTTATGAAGATCTTAGAACGATCAATGGCGTGGTTTTTCCTACATTTAAGGATGCGTGCTATTCTTTAGGACTTCTGGATGATGACAATGAGTACATTGATGCAATTAAGGAGGCAAGTTCATGGGGATCTGCTGCTTATCTTAGATGCATGTTTGCTCTGTTGTTATTTGCCAACTCAATGAACAGACCTGAAAAAGTTTGGGAAGAGTGTTTGAAATTTTTATCCGACGACGTTGTTTATCGGCATAGGAAAATAATAGGACGTCAAGGTACGTGTTATAATAATATTTCATACAATTTTTTTTTTGTTTAACCGAAATCAGCATATGCTGCCTTAGTACTTATTAGCTTTTTTTGCCCGTATTCAGCAAATGTTGATAAATTATTCGCTCTCTTTTCTTTCTTTGATTACTTTATCTTTGTTAATTTTTAAATTTTTTTTCCTTTGAATTTTATGCTTTGTCAGATGCAATTCTTACAGAAGAGTCTATAAAAAACATAACTCTTGAAGAAATTGATAAGGTACTGCAGAGCAATGGGAAATGCCTCTCTGATTATCCGTCAATGCCACACATCAATAGTGAAACTTTGCTTGATATGAAAAATCGATTAGTGTTGGATGAATTAATGCATGATAGATTTGCTTTGGAAGAGGAGCATAAAAGACTAATTAATTCCCTCACTGATGAGCAGAAAGCTGTTTATGATAAAATTGTTTCAGCAGTTACGTCAGGTAATAGAGGGTTATTTTTCCTATACGGGTTCGGTGGTATAGGAAAAGCATTTATTTGGAATACTCTTTCAGCATCTATTAGATCAAAAGCTGGAATCGTACTTAATGTTGCTTCTAGCGGAATTGCTTCCCTTCTGCTTCCTGGAGGACGAACAGCGCATTCTAGATTTCGTATTCCTATTCAAATCATGAAGATTCAACGTGTAATATAAGGCCGAAATCTACTATAACTGAGTTGCTGTCAAAAACAAAGTTAATCATTTGGGATGAAGCTCCAATGGTACATAGATTTTGCTTTGAGGCTCTGGATAGGACACTGAGAGATGTTCTTAGAATTTCTGATACAAGCTGTGTTGATATGCCATTTGGTGGAAAAGTTGTTGTTCTAGGAGGTGACTTTCGGAAAATATTACCTGTCATTCCTCATGGTAGCAGACAAGATATAGTTCATGCAACCATCAATTCTTCTCATCTATGGTCCCATTGTCATTTATTAACTTTGACCAAGAACATGCGTCTTAATTCTGGAAGTAGCGCTCACAATTTAGAGGAAATAAAATAATTTTCTGAGTGGCTACTTAAAGTTGGGGATGGTAATCTTAGAGATGATGTTGATGGAGAATCTATTATAACAATTCCAGATGAATTGTTGATTAGAGAATCGGAAGATCCGCTGTCGGATATGGTTAATTTTGTTTATCCGAATCTCTTGGATAATATTTTGGATCAGACCTTCTTTAAAGAACGTGCTATTCTAACTCCTAAATTGTCCGATGTTGCTATGCTAAACGAGCACCTAATGTCTATGATTCTTGGTGAAGAAAGGACTTTTTTGAGTTCGGATAAAATTCTTAAGCAAGGTGGGACTTCCTCTGTTGAGGATGATGAAATCACCCCTGAGATCTTAAATACGTTATCATGCTCAGGGATTCCTGATAATAAATTAATCTTGAAAGTTAAAGTTCCAGTAATGCTATTAAGAAATATTGATCAGTCGAGAGGTTTATGCAATGGCACGAGATTGCTTATTACAAAATTAGGGAATCATGTTGTTGAGGTAATTGTACTTACAGGAAGCAATATAGGGGAAACTGT